TTAAAGTAATCAGAATTATGAACGAAAAGAAGTCGTGATTTGGGAAGTGTGTCCTTTCTAAACACAATTTTTATAGCACGTCACGTTCGACACGTACTTGTATTACCGACAGAAACTAAAACTGATAACAGATAAATTTAACGTGGGCAGACTGATAATGACAGAAAGTACATCGAACAAACTACAAAACAAGACTACCCCAAATTTCTTCCACTTGGAAAACTTCTGTGAGGGTAACTACGAGGATTTTCACCAAAGGACGTGCGTTGACCTTATACCTATAGCACACATACTAAGAAGGAGAAATTGGCATGTAAAATTCTGTCTGCGCGAGTCACTCTTACTATTCTTTCCCCGTAAAGCTTATTTTTTAATGCCAAATTCAGATCTTCATCACTAGATTTTGGTTTTTTGAGCTTTCATCAACTGTACGTGTTTAGGAATAACTTTGGTCACTGGTTTATAACAGTTCCTTATAAGAAATAAGATGTTTTCTTCGAAGAACAAAAGTTCAAACGAAAGATTTCGCCATAAAGTGCTTCATTTAGCAATTATATTTCATCGCTTGCAAAGGTGCGAGATTACAAAACACAAAAGGAAGAAAACTTCAACTGCTTCTCATTCTTATATAATTATGTAGGCCATTTACGCAATCTTTAAGGTGTCAAAATTCTCAGACATTTTTAAGCCGATCCAATGCAGTAATTTAACAAACTTTGAATGGGCATCACCCGCTGGGATCTCTTGTAGGAATTATCGATAAATTTGTTTCATTTTCTTTTTGAGTATTTGTTTATTGTTAAAGCTTATTATGAGATATCCACAAAGTCAGTAGTATCTAACGGCTTTTTTTTACAAAGTTTGTAGACGGAGGAGGATGACTTTAGAGTTTGTGGTTTAAAAAAATTTGTGAGCATAGTAAGGTTGCAAAGTAACGCGTTAGTAGGTCAACGCTACATCTCAGGTGACATTTGTAGTCGAAGTACAATGCGTTGAAGAATGGTAAAACTGGGTTATTTTTTCCATTTATTTATTTATACTCAACGATCTACAGTGCAAAATCGTGATGATTTCGGATAAGGATTCTTAAGTCGTGGATGTGAACATATTTCGGGATATTGCTCCATTGGTTTCATGACTTCTTGTCGGCTGCAAGGTTCAAAGATTGGGAGTCGGTCTTAGTTCGCTGGATCCTCTTCGACTTCCGCGCAAGGATCACCGGTGAACCAGCTACGTTTTCTTCCAACGGATACTCTTCTATCCCCGATCAAAATAGGTCAAAGCCTAAAGCTAGCCGACCATTCGCAGGAAGAATAAAGACAGAGGTGAGATTGTGTACTTTTGGCATGATAAAACGAAGGAGAGCACTTTCTTCAAGTCACAGTTCAGTGCGATTGTAGTGATAATAAAAATAAGGTGCGCAGATTGTGCTTACCTGGGGTTATTCAATACGGTGATCCCGAAAATCCACTTTTAAAAGCTTGAAAACGGCGAAAATAAGCCTTTTTTGATGCCACTCCCTTTGGAATTGGACGGGTGGAGCAAGGCCGATGACACTAAATCGTTGCAGGACTCAATGGTTATAGCGTTGCGGCGGGCAGCCTCCAACGGTGGAAGGAAATTGCCAACTCGTCCAGATGCGTGTAAGATTGGCTTGCGCGTGTGAGTTTGAGAGCGATTTTCTCGGCAGGGAAAGCATGCTGTGCAACCGGGATTGCACTGTTTTCATACTTGGGCGATAATGACTCGCGTTAAAATCCTGTTGTTGGATTCTGCCGATCCACTGCCTTTGAGCCGCCTCAGCGCGCTGTCAATCGGTCGATTACGATGCGATCCTCCTTTTCAAATGTGAAACATGTGGGTCTCAAGGGGAAGACAGATGCGCAGAGTTTGTCAAATGGGTAAACCAACGTTTCAAGCGAGCGGCGGCGGTTCATGGTCGACTTGATGCACCCTTTTGTTACGTCGGGGGGCATTTTGTATAAAGCCACCTCAAGAATTCGGTGGATGATGATCTGTATAAGAGATTTCGCATTATCAAAGAAAAGGAATAAGATATCAATATTCACTTATTATCAACAAAATTGCATGGCAACAAAAATAAATAAAAGGAATAAACTTTAATAAATTTATGACACAAAGAACAAAAGCAAAAAATCCACACCTTTTCCTGGTTTCTTTGCTGCGGTCCGCTGTTCATCGACCCCTTTTGGGACCTAATACGTGCAGTTTTGTGTGTTCTTGCACCACAAAAAACGTGACCTAGATGTCTCTCGTAAGCTGCTCGCGCATAACTCAGGGATTTTTTTTCAATTGTTGCACACTATCTTCGTCAGTTCAATTTACGACCTACCTTCAACTTATAGGCGGCACGTTAACACATTGACGACCGCTTGACACACATGGTGTGTCAAGAAATGACTACCGCGTGGGACCGCTTGACACACCATGTGTGTCAAGACTCCAATTTTGTTAAAATAACTACTACCCTGGGATGAACTCACTCCACGAGCTTTGATTTGCACTAAATCTAGGTTTGATATCTACCTTTTTTGTCAGTCTTTCAAATCTATTGTATGTGTAATGTAGATGGCAGTATGCGTAATTATAGTTGAAAAATGTGGGCTGGTCCGTAAAAGGCCTTGGTCTCAAGAAGCAGACAACTAAAAATTTGCATGGTCGTCAACGTGTTAAACTAACCGTGGCACAAATCAGACGGTCTTCTGGCTGTTCAACGTGACATATGAACGCATTGGAAGGTGGGCGTAAGTTTAACTTGTGAAGATCCTCTGCGGGATACGGTAGAGTTCAACTGAGCTGATTGGCAACTCGCCATGGGCAGAAGCTTGAATGAAATTAGAGAATGAGTTGTCATTTGAGCGCTTTTCTCGGTGAGCTTTAGCGTCCCCGATAATGCTTCCCAAGTTTTCCTGTTGAAGAGCTAAAAGTTTTTGCGATTGATGCCGACGTGCCCTATTCTGAACTCATGGCGATGGGCAAGATCTTCGCAATGTTTCTCCAGTGAGATTTTTGCTCAAAAGAACTGCGATTACTGTTTATCTTTGGTTCTTATGTCCTTTTGAACGATGCTGTGCAAACGTCATCACCTGCTACTAAATAGCGAAATAGTGAAAAGCCAAAAAAAAAACTTTGAAAGACTGAAGTGTGTTATCAGCCCAGATATAAAGCAAGGATGTTCTGATTTCGAAGATTTTTGTTAAGAAATCATCATGTTTTCGCTCTTGGCCCGAGCTTGTTAAACATGGTCAGTAAGTTTACAAAATCATACAATTACGATGTACTCACGTTGTTGCTCCGAGGAAGTTTTCAGGGTGTTCTGAAGATGCTCGAACAACATTTAGTGACTTGAAAATCTTATTACTATAGGATGTCGCAAAAAGATCCTACTGTTTAATTATTACTAACCCCTTAAAATAAAATCTTTCGAGAAGATCTAGGTATAGGGCTCGGCACAGTTGGCACCGGGTCAAGCTGGTTATCGTTTTTGGGACAAAAAAGCAGGGATATCATTTTTGTGGCCGAAAAAAGCAAAAATTGCGGTTTTTTAGTCGACGTTTCGTTTTCTTAACGTTTTTTACGTTTAGGGCTTAGTGTCAAAGAAGACTTCGTGCAAAGGTTTCAAGATCAAAGGGGACTTTGCTTTGAAATTTCCTTGGTGCTAGCTCGTGCAGAGCCCTATTTAGGTACGTTCTGTATAGCTGGCTTCAGCTGATTTACAGTATGGTGAAAACTGAAAATCTCTCTTCATTACCGCCGGTTTATGGCAGGAACTTTGAGAAGCGTTTTGAGAAAATAAGGGTCATATTTTATCCCTGAAAGAGAACCAAAGAAGCTGAAAGCTCCTACACTAGGTTAATCAGAGTCCTGATTCCAAACATGAATCTCGTCCACGGTAAGGCATTGTTCGAAAAGATAGATTCTTAATTCACTCCGCACTGTAAATCTAAGTTGAAGCAGTCTACAAAACGGCACCTAAAGCTTCTCGAAAAATTTCATAACAAGAGAGTTATTAACAATTAAACAGTAGGCACATTTTTATGGGACACCTTGTATATCATCTACACTTCGCAGTTTTTGGAATTCCAAAGCACTTCTCGACCGAGTATGTGAAAGATGCTGAGTCTCATACAAGTCCTGTTTTCCCTCTCTCTTATACTTTTCCCTTTTGATGGTGCAGTATTATTAGGTGAAAAGGCGGCAAAAGTAAAAATGATGAGAGAGGACATTGTTATGCGCAAAGCATTGAAATGTCAGAAGCTTCACCATCTTTTACGAAGACAATTTTTCAGATGGCAGTGACTCTGTCAAGAAATCTATGAAGCCTGCTAGTGATCCGTCTTGCAAAATCCAGCAGCCAATTTCGATGAAATGGCGAAACTAATGACCAAAACGCTTTTTCAAAAAACATCCCTTAACTACTGATAAGAGAGTCACAAAAACTCCACTTTTATGGTACGGAATTTGGCAATTTGTCTGGAATGCAATACTGGTCGTAGTTTTTGAAAAAACGACGCACAGTCGCCCGGTTCATGTGACCGTAGCGTGGCCATATCTCGCTTCAGAGTAGACAAATTCTTAATCCAAAGGCGCCATTCGACTTAGCTCGGCGCGGCGCATCTTCTGATTTATAGAAGTGCCCCGTGGACACAGTAGCAGGTCAGGTTCAACGCATCGTTTTAGATTTTCGCTCATGGGAGGTTACTAGGTCAGCGTGCTTATTCATTGTACTCCCTGGGCAACACACCGTGAGCAAAAATCTGAAATGACTGAAACGATTCGTAAACAGGCACTTCCATATAAGAAGATGCGCCGCACCTAGGTGAGTCGAATGGTGCTTTTGGATTAAGAATTCGTCCACTCCAAAGCGAGATATGGTCACCTGTAATGTCACATGAATCGGGCGACTCTGCGTCGTTTTTTCCAAAATTTACGAGCGGTATTGTGCTCTGTTGCCCGCTTCTAACTTATTAGCTTTCACTGCCCATTTTATGTGGCTATGCGCTTCTGGAATTATGCTTTTATCATCGGTAAGTTAAAGTGAATTTTAAGATGTTCAGTGTAAGTTACCGCGAGAGATGGTATATCCAAAAATATCACAAAACAAGCCCAATTCTAAAAGTTGGTTTTACAAACACTTTTTCAAAGCCGCATTAGCCTTACTGCTTCAATAAAATTAGGAAAATAGCAAAATGTTAGCTTTTTAATATGGTTGAGAAAAACGGCAAAACGTTCGCACAAATCACAAAAAGTATCAGGATGACACTGTTCAACACATTGAATCAATATATTTAACTTGATTTGAACTTAGTAATCTCCTGTGTCATCAAAGAGTTCTTCCTCAACAATAATCAGTAAGTATAATTTCGGGTCGAAAAACCAAAAAATTGAATTGAAGGTTTCAGGTAGGTCAGGCAGAAAGATTGAATATAATTCCTACACCAAGTTTTCTTAAAGCTGCTAGTTACTCGTAAAAAATTTTATTCACGATGAAAACCTTTAGCAAAAGTCGTTATTTATATCGTCGATATTTGAAAAAAACTTTATATTGCAGCGATGTGGGTATTTTTCCCGGGAGCTGTTGCTTTAGTTGGCTCAATCTTCTTTCTATTTCTACGCAGTAGACAGAAGAAGGCTATCGCAGAAGCACCGCCACGACCAAATGTCAACTGGGATAAGCAATCCCTTCCTGTTAAAGTATGTACGGATCAATCAATAGATTGAAACTCTCTGTTTTTCAAAAATTTGTTTATGACATTTTTCTCCAGGAAGAGATTTTTGGAGTAAACCTCTTAGTTTCTTGTCGGCTAGTAGATGATTTTTGACTCATGCTGAAAAAAGAAGATTTTTCTAAAGGGTGAACCCGGTGTTTACAAAAGCGGTCTTCTCACAAATGACAACGAAAATGTGATTGAACGCATCTACCCGGATGTGGAGACACTTTATGATGCATTCCTACATGGCTTGAAGGTACTGAAATTATTAGGTTGCTGCATAAGTTCTGTCCGAAATTTTTTGCCTTATGTTTGAAGCAGCTGCTCTAAGAGGATCTCATCTCTGATGCGATATTGTTAGTATCATTAAAAAGTGCTTTTCTTGCCCATTCTAAAGCATATCAAATTTCAATAAATTTCTTAGTGTAAGGAGATTTCAGGCCTAAAATCTCCAAGTGGTCGAGGTAGTCCTTACCCTAGAAATATGTTCTTACGAGGAAATCTCCATAATGCGCCCTATAGGTCAAGTTTTTTAATCGGTTCCGGAATAAGGGTGTAACAGGCTAGAATACGCTTAAGTTCAGTTTTATGAAGAAAACGTCTTGCTAGTAAAATTTATTGTCAAACATTAATTTTCTGTATAGATGTTTTACAAGCTATAACCTTCTGTGAATAGAAGCAATCGACGACTTCAAAGTTGGAGGTGCTAGGGTAAAGCAAGGGCTAGCAGAAACCGTTCACCAATTTCTTTTCGGCGCTCATGTTAATTGTAAAATTTACATAACTCGTAAATAGGCTTGCACACATGCACTGAGGCGAAGTCAAAAAGTGGCTTCTTTTTTGCTCGGTCAAAAAAATCTCTCGGCAACGTAGACCCTATGGGCTCTTTTATGTCCCAAAATAATCTGCGAAAAATTCTCTAACTATCCATTGTTGGACAAGATGCCTATCAATTCTCATAAGGGAGCACTGCCAAGTCAAAAAAGACAGGTTTGAAGAAAAACGCTGTAAAGTTTTTGAGTTCTTGCTCCTTCCTTTACAAGGATTTTCGCTTTGAATATGTGTCTGATAGGTAAGGAATTACTCAACACATAGAATCTAAAATCTTGGAAAAATGTTGACTTTGAAGATAGTTATGACATTTTGAACTCAAAAATTCAAATCGGACAGAACTTATGCAGCAACCTAATACTTATCTTTAATGACAGAGCAAATCTTCACTCAGCCTTCCAGAAATCCCACGACGGAGATTGCCTCGGAAAACGAGGACCTGACGGGAAATACTACTTCCGCAAATATTCTGCAATTTTGAAAGATTCTGAAAAACTTGCATCTGCTTTGCTGGGAGTGCTGGGACTAAAACCGGGTATACATTTGTTGTCTGATTTAACACCTCGATTAATTAAGTCCATTTAAGGTGACAAAATCGGTATCTACTCGCAAAATCGTCCAGAATGGATGATTACGGCCTTAGGCTGCATTCAGCAATCAGTAATTTTGGTGCCGCTTTACGATACGCTAGGTGCTGACGCTGCTTCATTCATTGTCTCACAAACTGAAACCAGGTACTCTTGAACTATTTACAAAATTTCCAACAGCTAAAGCAATAAATCTGTTCGGCAAAGGACAGGATAGAAATATTCCTTGCACTTGATTTCCAACAACTAACAACAAGCTGCTAAAATCTTTTCTCTTCAAAAGTTTTGCTTCATCCAACACTAATTAAAATGGCTTACATTCAACATTTCGTAACTCATCTAGTTTACTTTCAACGCTTTCGCGACCCATTCTCATGGAGGGAGGAGGGGGGGGGGTGGAAGGCTAAGCCGCCACTGCTACCTAAGAAGTATCTATGAAAGTTTAGGAGAGCAAGTGAACTTACAACAAAACCGTGACTATCCCTCTAAAAAACTCTTGTTAAAAATGAAGTTTGCAGGGCTTCAAGTAGAACTTTGTCACAGCTTAAGCTTTCTGTCAATCCCCTATAACACTATTACAATTTTTGTTCTACACTTAATTTTAGCGTCATTTTGGTCGATGCCGTTCAAAAGGCGAAGAATTTGCTGTCAAAAAAAGATTCAATGCCCTCACTCAAAATCATTATTATGGCGGACAAAAAAGATTTCACATATGAATTGACTAAGGAGGTAAGCCTATGTTTGCTTAGAAAGACTGCAACACCATTATCTTTATGGTGCTGATTGAGAAGAAGCCTTCGATAGACCAAGATAATGATGACAGAATTTTTTGAAACCCTATGCTTGCATGCGCCAAATTCACTTTATATTGCCAAACACGGTTTCAAAAAGCATTGCAATTACCAGCGAGTTTAATCGATCATAAAATCAACGCTTCAATCTTCCCAAATTATCCCGAGGGCACATGCACTAATATCCCCGCTAAGAAGGGAGCTTAGAAAAAAGCTTTACATCTTAAAGCTCTGAAGATCCGGATTACGCACTCTTCATTCTCAAAAGCAGCGGTTTGGCAAAACTGGTTCCAAAATTTCAACATATGGGTTGCCAAATATGGAAACAGAGCAAGTCCGACCGCAAACATGTCTCTTACAAAGAAATTGTTCCTAAGTCTGAGCTCCCGAGCCTGTTTTGTGGGCGATTTTCCTTTTACCGATAGAGGCGGCATGCTGCAACGTCAAAATCATGAGGATTCGGCGACTGTTTCACTCGTTCAAGTTAAATAAACATGGAGAAATGCTCGTTTTGCCATTTTCGGCCTTTCTGAAGTAATGAGATTACATTGGACCATGGGATTATATGTTCGATTTGCAAAAAAAACTGCCTTCAAGTGTTTCCCATCCTCTGTTATAAACAGGCGTTTTCCATGTTTGTAGGATCCCCCAGTGATCCCAGAAATTTAATTATCCAATCCGAATGCACTTGATGATACTGAGGCAATGAGATCAAGCAAGTTCCTAGTGAGAAGAAAGGTACCAACGTCATCAAACTTCGGACAACTCATGTCGAAACTTCATGGGAGACATTCACAACTCTAAGATATTTTAGTTTGCTTCAGAAAGAGAATGACTTTGAAGAAAAGTCACATGAAGATTGTGCAAAAGTGGCTAATGTAGGTTTCGTTGGTGATACAACCACTAATCCCCAGACCTTTAAGGTATGAAGCTTTCTTTTAATTGCGCTTCGCTCCAAGCTGGTACTCATGCTGCGGTCGTAAAATCAACTTACCTGCCTCAGTTGAGGGCTTGGTTGTCGCAGCCATGCGACTGGATTTTGATTCTATAGAACCAGTGAGAAAATTAGGTTTTTGTTTCAGACGCAGGTCCATGGCATTAGGTTGATGTCCTTCGAAGAGATTCTTTACGCAGGCACAGAAAAACCTCAATTAAGGCATCTACCAAACAAGGATAACATTTACATAATCTGGTACGCGCTTATCCATGTACAGGGTGCAAAAAAAGTACTGTCCCTCAAAATATAGGCAAAGAAATCGGCGTAATCCCAGTGTTTTCTGGTAAATTTGACATAAATCCTAAGATATGAGTGTGTTCTAGCATTTTACAAAAAATTGGCTTAAGAATTCTGCAATATTACCCAGCGGCATATCCCTTTTTGCAGCACATCCCCTCAAAATCTTGCATTCCCTTTTACAAATGTGAAGAGTGTGAAGTTTTTTGGAATTTTCTTTTGTTTCCACCGTGGATATGAGAAATCTCCCATTGCTTAAGGAATGCTATAGTGTCTTCAAAATGTGCTAGAAGTAGCCAGATCGCAGCTGCAGTAGGAGAAACTTTGGGAAATTTTTCAACGAAATAGCGTTTGCGGCGCAACAAGGTGCGATCAGAAAACGCGGCACAGAAACTGAGTACAATCGTTTATTGACTTAAAATGATGATGTAGACAAAGCCCGATGCTTTCTTCATTATTCTTGTTGTTTTTTGTTTGAATCTGGAATTTCAAGCCATAGTTTGAATCCAATTCCTTGAGCAAGAGCAGATCTGAGTAGCCTCTTTCCGTGAATTTTTGGATTTTGCTTAAGATACAATTTTCCTTGTTTAGCCAAAATTTCAAGTCACTGACCCATAATGAGTATAGAATTTTGGAGAGGAGATAATGCGCCTGCTACCTTAACTTGAAACTGATATTATTCTTGGTGATATAGTTGCGGTTCAAAATTGCGCCCAAATGCTGCGGCGCATCGTCGATGATGCTGCTCGCAGTTATCACTCGTTTAAATAAACAGAATGAAATCGTTTCAGATCGAAACTATATTATTCGAATCTACAGCGCCTCGCCTACATATCAGAATCAGAAAACCATGAATTTTTTCCGTCTCTGAGATTTTCTAGGAGCCAAGCTGAGGGACAGTACTTTTTCCGCACCCTATAGCATCGAAATCCAATGTGCTCCCTTACAGCTACACCTCAGGAACCACTGGAAGGCCGAAAGGAGTTATTTTGACGCACAAAAATGTTATGGCCAATGTTAGCTCTTTTGCATATATAGCCACAACAATGGAGCCACGGTTACTTGACGAAAATAATGTAATTTGGTAAAGCTTTTATCAACTGACTGTGTAAAGATAAAGCAGCAGTTCAGACGGCTTTATCGTATCTACCGTTGTCGCACATGATGGAGCAAGTTGCTCATTGGGTAATGCTTATGTATGGATGTCGTATAGCCTACTATAGCGGAAGCATTCCGGTGAGTGAAATAGAGGAATTCTTTTTTCATAACGATTTGTTAACAAGTAAAGAATTGCGGATACTAATTCAACGACCCTAACTCAGCCATTACTTGAACAATAGTTTATATGATTCATTTGTAATTGTGAAATTGGAATTGCAAACAATACTTGGAGACTCTGACTGGCCCACTTGAAAAGAGTATGGCCTGGACTAAGAGTTAGGAGCGATTTTTTTAGCTGTCGCTTGGGCGAAAGCTTAGTTGATGTTTATAATTCATTCCACGTAAAAGTCCGGTCTCCAGGTTTTGTTAGATTACTCTTACGTTGATACGAAATCGATGCATATCTTCCCTACTCTGAAGCGGCAGAAAAGTTACAAAAACGAACGAAACATACTATTCCATAGAACAAAGCAAACCCTACAAGGTGTTATTGAAACAATCTTGGAAAGTTTGATACACGGAAAGAGGAAGAAAATCTAGAAACTTTCAGATGGTTGGATCTCTGTTCAAAAAATCCCACATAGCTCCAACTTGCTCACGAAAGTTACTAATAAAATCAGCTATGCATATCAAACTTGCTGTATTTTTTCATGGGTAAAAGCTGAAATAAAATTTGGCATGCTCTAGCACTAACGTGCTGAATTGTTCTGACATAGATAATTCATACTACAGTAATTCAAAAGTTTAACGATAAAATTCAGCTTTCTCCAAGGATTACTGCTCGGTAAAAATGAATTTTAAGTAAAAAAAGAGAGAATCGACATTTTCGAGTTTTTGACCTTTTTTATTTGTCAATATCACACAACTAAAGATTATTCAGCGTACATTTAAATGTTTGACGTAATGCTTGGACGAAATTAGAGGTTCGCAGCATAGATGCGATAGGTGGAGAAATTAATTTCTCTGACCCCCTTCACTTTAGGGCCGGTATCTGGCTGACTCCTTTCACCTGAGGTTGAGACTAGGATCATTGATTAACGGCAGATGAAACAGATATTACAGTGGCTTTTCGTTTAGAAAAGAAACACCAACTGCTCTTCTTCTCAGACATCAAAACTGCAAAAGAGCATCGAAGCAACAGCGTTTTTGTTGAAAAAACGCATGCTTGAGACCCTTTGTCGCACTCAAAGTGGAACTGATAACGAACCATAATCGTAAATTGGAAGGTTGTCTGATTCGTTGACTAATTAACATGGTATCAATAAACACACATTTTCGCAAGAAAGACTTGAGCAAGAGTAGAACATTTGGACTGGCCAATGATGGATTCATGTTCTACTGACAAGAATCGTACTATATCTCCTTCATTTGAGAGAATAATAGCAAATAAAGGAGCAGTTAGATTACTCGTTCTCAAGCCTTCAAGTCATTATAAAATTTCGAAAAATACCTTCTTGATTTAAGATAATTACACACAATTGGCTGATACTGTGGCTAGAAAGATTGCTTACATCTCGCTTCACAGAAAAGCTAAGAAAAAGAGACGGTTTACGTCGATTTTCCGTGTTCTTAGCTGTTGAATGGTATAAAAGTGTTGAAGCATAAAGCTTTCCCTGTTCAGAAAAGGCTTGCCCCGGAGACACATAAAAGCCAAGCCATTGGGGGAGCGGGGTGGAGCAAGCTAATAGTAAATCCACCTCATTTTTGAAAGCCACAATTTTATTCACTTAACAACCTATACTATCAAAAAGCTCACAAAACGGGGATTCGATCTGGACCGTCTCTTTTTCTCTAGCTCCACTCTACTTAGAGATACATGGCATTCTAGCTAAGATGTATGTATTTGGCAAGAGATTCCTGCGTAGAATGAATGAGGTGCCTCATAGTCCAACTGCGTTACAGGGCTTGCCAGTAAACGTAGACCATCTTTTTTTCTAGCTTTTCTCTTCCTTTCAGAAATCAAGCGCAAAGTGATCGCATAGAATCTACTGATGTTGCAGCTAGTTAAATTTCTTATATGTGAATTCACAGGAGAATTGGTAAAAAGAGACGGTCATAGAGCTTTCCTAAATCAAAAAGGGCTCCAATGATCTTTCAAAGCCAAAACATTGAGTAAATCTTCAAATTACGCCTCTGTACCACTTATTCTCCTTCTTTTCACCCTCAGTCCCACTCGACATTTAAGCTTATGTCAGCATTCACTTTAAGGGCAGTTACCCCCTTCACTTTTCTAGGTCCTAGCCGAACCCCCGTCATCTAGACAGAACCTTGCTCCCCCTATCGCACCTGTAATTCGCAGGATCTTTTTGAACGAAAATCTTATTTTTACATCTCTAAAACATCTTGCAATCTTTAGCAGAAATTTCAAGTGATCGAGCCTTTTTAAATTGTTCAAGCAACACTTTGCAGAGCTTGCTTTGCTGCATCGAATGTTTTGTTTCATACATTTTTATACCTTTACTGCTACCTCGGTAAGGAATATGTATTAGCTAGCTGTGTTTCCGGCCCCGCCCGGCCCTGTCAAAATACTATGTCAAAGGTCACTATCCCTATTCCCGTACAAACCTTTCTCTGTGCCGACTTCTACTTGCTAATTCTCTAAGCCGTTTTGTTTTCCTAATCAGCATACCCCTCCCCCCCCCCCATTTACCCCCCTCCCCTCCCGGCCGCAGAGATAAACTTGCAAAAAATCGATAAAATCGATAAAAGATGCAGATCATTCTGAAAACTAATATTGTGTTCGTAATCACCATTCTCACTTACCTCCTGTGCCATTTCTCAGCCACGTAGGACAAGCAAAAAAATCGATAAACTCGACAAAAGTAGTGGATAATTCTAAAAACTAATAGCGTACTCGTAATCAGCATGCTCGATTACCCCCATGTGCCGACTTCCACCCTCGTAAGCCATGCTATGCAAAAAATCGATAAAATCGTATTGATCGATAGGCGAAAAGTAGCCTATGACACTCGCCCAGCACCGAAGTCTATGTATGCCAAGCTTGGTCCGGATCGGTTCAGAAATAAAAATTTCTATTCGGCACATACGTACAGACAGACACACAGACACATAGATTTACAAACAGACATTCAGCTGTATATATAAAGTTCTGCATCAACCTAATACTTCAAATCGATGTGTCTTAGCTTCAAATCAATTTCAGCGTCTTACTGAGGATATTGAGGCTTGTGTACCTACAGCTTTGATGGCCGTGCCACGAATATTGAATAGAATCTACGCTGCAATTCAGGTGCGTGGCTAAAAGTGAATAAGATATCCATTGAGCAAGTACTTTTCAGGCTAAAGTACAGAAGAACATTTTCTCGAGAATGATCTACAGTATTGCCCATTCGCAGAAGCTTGGACTACTAAAACAAGGCATAACCACAAAGGACACAATCTGGGACAGATTAGTTTTTAGAAACGTTCAGGTATAGTAGATTTTGATCATATCAAGGAAAACTAGGTTAAGGAGGTTTCTTTTGGCTATGGGTTGAGCCAGACTGCGTGGAGTGCGCGGCTTGCGCGCTGTACACAGCGTACACCCCACATCTTTATGCAGCGTATGCTTACGCTGCTTACGTCGCATACGCCACTTACGCTGCGCAGTCTGGCCCTAAAAATCTTTTCGCAAATATAAGTGTAGAAATACAAGGAGTGCCAAAATTATTTGCGTTAAGTTTGTAGCAATGCTGCAAAGGAACAACGTATAGTTTGGTCTCGAGATTTATGCCACAGAAAGCTGCAGTCATACTCTACTAAATATCATTTTTGAGCCTAGGGTGACTGCGATACCTATCTGCCAGTGGCGTACCGAGGGGGGGGGGGCGAGGGGAAGGAGAAGAGAACGGGTCGCAAAAATTTTTGAAAGTTACTTATATGGGCTATAAAATAGTGCAAATGACTTGTCTGCACATGTAAATAATTAAAATAATTTTTAAAATTTGTAAGCTTATAAAAATTTTTTTTTGGGGGCATGGCTGACGCCACTCCCCCCTTTTCCTGAAATTTCGGGGTTCTGAGCCCATGAAATTTTTAGGAAGCATACCAAAAAATTTTTCGGAGTGCGTGGCTGACGCCATGCACCTTCATCGGAAAAAAATACTTGTCCCCCCCCCCCCCCGAGCCGAAATCCTGGGTACCCATTGCTATCTGCGAATACTGGAATTGCCGAACTAGTGTTCTTGAGCAGTGCAAAAACGCAATTTCTGGTATTTGCATATTATTTCGTAGCTGAAAATTTTCGGAGCATTTGGAGCCGTTTCATGTCCACAGTGTAGAGGAGATTTTGCGCTAAATTGTTATAAGTGCGTTCGACAAAAGATATTTCTTCAAGAATGGCAACAAAATGTTTGCAAATTTCTCGCGTGCCAGTGGTCGTTTCATTTTTGAATCACATCTTCTAGCTCGAGAAAAGTAGCTTTCGGATTCGAAGTTATGCTAACTCCGCAAAGCTTCCAGATGCATATGTAATTCTATCCCGTTGATGAAGTTGATTTTGAACCTGATTCAAAGCTAGTTTTCTGTTTTTATTTGTACTCCTAATTTGTGGAGTTCTCAAGAATGCGGCAAACAGGTGCCTTTAGTTAAACTTTGATAAGTCCTCTTGCCAGTCATTCCCAGATTTTGAGCTTATAGTTCTAATTCTATCCCGTTGATGAAGTTTAGCCAAAATGTTGCTCTACCAGGATCACGTTTTCTGCATGACAGGGGCATTTTCCGCGAAGAGGTAGAACGGACTTGCAATAAACACTTGCGCGTTGCGCACAAAGTAGCCGACAAGACATTTTGTGATTTTCTGAAGCCACAATTGGAAATTTTGCATTGTGCTAAAGCGTCTTACAAGGGAAGTGACATTGGTCGAAGTGGCGTATCCATATTAAAAGTATGATTTTTTTATAAAGCGTGAGCCGCTGATTCCAAATCTGCTTATCATATCTGCAAAGCGTTTTTTTTTTGGGGGGGGGGGGAAGTTATGGAAAATCTTTGAAACGAAAATATGAAGTCACCTTCAATAAAATCATTCAGAGTAGTAATCTGTGGGCTCAGATGGGGCCATGATTACTGTCAGAAGGCTTCAAGCAATTAATACCTTCAGTCTGATAGACTTATACTATTCAATACTCTTTCCAAGCGTCGGAAAGACTTTAGCGCCTTTTTACCTTAGCCAAAACCTCGAGTTTTTGCTCAAAAGAAATCCCACGGGTTTCCTCTCAGAAACAAATTTCAGATACCGAAAGCAGATTTGGAATCGCCGTATCATGCCCTATACGACAATATACACCCTATACACCTCATATGGAAACGCCATTTCGCCAAGTATCCTTTTTTTGTTAGTAACAAGACAGTACCGAAACAAAGTAATTTTTTACCGGTTGCTGAGCCGTCTTTCGAGTTTGGCGTTGAGTGTAAACGCGCAAAGAATTCTGACACACCCGTAATTCTCTAAATAAAGAATCGCTGAAACAAGCTTTTGCAGCATGAACTGCGTGAAGAATTCTAGCCTTTCAGAAGCAACTAGGCGGTCAAGTCAACTTCATAATGGTAGGTTCCGCTCCTCTTTCAGAAGAAGTCTTGCAAACATGTCGAATTGCTTTGGGTACAAGGATAGCTGAAGGTAAGAGTAATCTCATAGGATCACAGTTGCAATCATAGTAGGAGGCTCTAGTTCCCTTATGTTTGAAGAGAAACTGCACATTTGAAGAGAAACTGCACAAAGTTGTTTAGTAAAGCTTGTCAGTATTGTAAGAATAATTGTTTTGTCATTTTGTACAAGAAGGTACTAATCAAAATTTTCAATTTTTTGGTCATACCCACCACAGAGATGTACTCTCTTGCACAAGGGTAATCCAGAATAATTTCAGCTTATGGTCAAACAGAATGCACAGCCATTGTTACCCTGGGTTGGCTTGGGGACTGGACTGGTGGTCATTGTGGAGGAGTCTCAACATGCTGTAACATAAAACTTATTGATGTTCCTGAGTTAAATTATTATGCCAAGGATGGCCGAGGAGAGGTGCAGTAATATTGAAGTAGATTATTTCAACAAGCGAAGTTGTATCTATAGATCATGGTCCGAGGACCAAGTGTCACTCAAGGCTATTATAAAGATCCTGAAAAGACTAAAGAGCTTTTTGCCGAAGATGGATTCATACATAGCGGTGATATTGGTGAACTTCAGCCAAATGGCACAATAAAAATTATAGATAGAGCGAAACATATATTCAAACTAGCACAGGTAAGACAGCTTCCAAATTCGAGTTTTACGAATTTTGTTGAATTATAGGGTGAGTACGTGGCTCCAGAAAAAATAGAAAATATCTATATCCGCAGTCCAGTAGTACAGCAAGTGTTTGTTGATGGTAATAGTTTAGAAGGGTAGGTCATAGTCTGTATAGTATTTTGAAACCTAGTCAAACAAAAATATAGTTAGTAATTAGCAAATCAAATAAGTTAGATTGTGCAAAGTCAAGATTTTTTGCAAGGAGGAGAACATTTCGAAAAAATAGTTGAGATAGATTACGAGGTTGTGCTTGTGACTCGTTTCCACTCGTACAAAACAAGTCCATGCATTTACAGAAATTGTGGTCAAGAACAGAAGTATGCTCCATTATTATGAACTTGGAAGATTCAAAAGAAACTTCAAAAAGTTTGAAGCTTTTATCAAACTTGTTATTGTGGAAAAATTTTTTCGAGAATAGCTTCTGCGATTCTTGCTGGAAAGAACATAGCTGAATGCTTATTCAAATCCGTGGATGTGTCTCTTGAACTCAACAGTAAGACAAAAACCAAGATGTTCCCTAACATACAGGGTGTCCCAAAAAGATGTGCACACTGTTTGATCGTTAATAACTCTCCTGCTTTCGTGTTTTTTGCCGAGCTTGCATCTTTTTGTAGATCGAGGTTCAACTTAGATTTGCAGCGTGGAGCGAATGATCGGTTGCTCTTCAATACTGTAAGATTACGGTAGAAACTCCGAGGAGGATTTTAAGCCATTGAGAGCGGTTTTTTTTTGTCGGTTTTCGCCTCAGAAAGGAAACTAAACAAACCAACAACTCTTGTACTAAACTAGTCGAAGTCGTGGACTCTAAATATGAAATTTGCACTTCATTATAGTGCTTCTTTCATGAGTTATTCCAAATATAGGGTGACAACTTTTTTCCAATGTTCGTCAGAAATGTGAATACGCCATCAAGAAAGCTCGAAAAACTCATGAAAACTCATGTAGTGAAACTGGCACGCCTGAAAAACTTGATACACAACTTCTCAGATTTTTTTTTGAAATTATCTCATCAAAAGGCCTATTTTACAGTGACGCTGGAGGTTCATACCGTAATCCTACAGTAATGAAGAGTATTGGTGATTCGCTCCATACTACAAATCTAAGTTGAACCTCGCTCTACGGAATGGTACCTTAAACTCGGCAAAAAAAACATGGAAGCAAAAGAGTTATTAACGATCAGACAGTGTGTACATCTTTTTAGGACACCCTGTATATTAGGTTATAAAGAAAGTTAACGGGCACTCTTGGAAATTTCATTTTTTAACGCACTTTTTCGGCCCTCGGTCGAACTTTGACACCAAGTTTTTTATACTGTTCAGTAGAGTGGAGCCCATAGTTTTCAATACGGCTTCGAAATTTTATCCATGCCAAGACGTGTTTGATTTGCGCATCAAGAAGAAAAGCCTTTCCAACCACAAAAATTTCGCAATTTTTCTTCCTACGCCCATTTTTGTGCAGTTCAAAGAATTTCGTCCAAATCATAGGTGATCTGATTGAGAGGCCTGTTAACTTCTGACCCGCAGCTGCACTTGAGCTTTGCGATTTGCGCTCTTACAAGCTGTCGAACTTGCCTTTGACTTCAACTCTTTTCGGCTGGCGTCGCTTCTGTAGGGATCGCCACGCCTGAATGATTGGTCCAAAAGATGTGCAAGGCATTACTCCAACAATGTTCGCAGTAATCGAAGATTTGGTTCACGTATGCAGAACGACAAGACTTCAAAGTCACTTACTCGAAAAATGGTGCATTTTTGGGGGCAAAAATGATCGATTTTTCAAACTTTCTGGAAAAGTTTTTTTTTGCATGTGGTTGCTTAAAGGCTTAAGTAGTCCCCATAACAACCCCAGCAGACTTCTATATACCCACTGCGTTTGGGCTCTCCAGCTCTCATCCTGCCCGAGATAATCCTGCACCAGTAGGCCACTTTTCGCGACGACCTTTTTCCCTTTTGCGCATGCTGGTGGACCGCAGTGAGATGCTGAAAAGCCAGAAAGACAAATATATGTTGTGGACAAGATTGTCTTTGCAGTGAAGTTTGTAGCTTCAAAAAAGAATCAATCTGTTTAAAGTTACAGCGATTTGAAAAAAAAAATTTTGCAAGTGCCCGGGAACTTCCTTTACAACCTAATAATAACAGATAAAGTAGCACAAACGCAAAATAAAGGAAAAAAGACCTTTCGAGCTTCGCGTAGTGAAATAAACATTCTGCAAATAGTTAAACTTGATCAGAGCTTGCGATCATCCGCTTCGCATATGTTTCTCGTTCTTTTAAACAAACCACTAAGTCTTCAGCTATCTTATTGGCGTGGTAGTTCCTCAGCCAGAAGTCATGGAGGAATGGAATAAAGAGAATGGCGTGGAAGGCCGCACCTTGAAAGAAATCTACGAGGACAAAAAGGTGATCGTACCCGTTACTGGAATTGTACTGTTTGTAGCGCCAGTCTATTCCAGGCACAAGACTATGTGCTTTCGAAGCTACAACAAATCGGAAAAGAAAATAAACTCAATTCAATAGAACAGGTGCGCGTCCTATGATAGATATCAAAAACAAGATCGTGCAAATATTGAGTATATAAAAAATACAAATTGGATTGTGGAAAAGAAAATAATCTTTTTAGGTGAAACGGGTATATTTGGAGATGGATCCATTCAGTGTAGAAAACGATCTACTCACTCCAACATTGAAAGCCAGGCGGCCTCAACTACGTCAAAAATATAAGGAAATAATGAATAAGATTTATGAAGACAATAGAAATTCGTAATGGTTTTTTCATGAATATGTCGAACTTAATGTTACATCGTTGCAATGTGATTTATTCACAGTACTCCCGAGTACGCAGGAATAAATTGATATTATTGTGTGAAAGAGTCATTGCATAAAACAGAGCAGCTGCTCAGAGAATCGTCCAAGGTAGGCGGGTGTTTGCCACCTTCTGGACGAAGGTGCAGAGATTTCTCATAAATTAGTTGCTTTGCAGTAACCGCATTCTTGTGGGCATTCCGTAAGAATATGCAAAATTGTTGGAGGCCGCACGGTCCTTTTAGACCGCACAACCAGTAGGTATCTTCCAATGAGAGAAAGTACCTCAAATTCGGGTAGTAACTGAACCATCGATGACATTTTTGCCAAATGAGGGGCTACATTTGCTTGGCGTCGCCTCAAACCGCCGTAACAAGAGTTAGAGCGCTCGCTGAAAGAAATTATCTTAATAGCGCTTAATAAATCTCTTAATGCTGCCCGCTAGCAGAATATGCGACAGCGAGGGAAATACCGCTCCAAATTTTGCTGGCCGCTTGCAAACGCGCGAGTCCGCAGTCCGCCTGCTCCCGGCGTTATCTGTGCAGCTGCTCATGAATGGAGCATCGAGATTAAGACTTCCAATGCGATCTCATTGATAAACCTATCAATGAAGTCTTCATTTGATCGAGACAGGTAGACATATACAGGTAACGCGGTGGCGCAAGAAACCGTGATAAGCGCGAAAGCGATTCCATGCAAACTGAGCAAGAGCGCATGCGATGAATCTTGCGGTGAAATTCCAGGCCAGATTCGATCCAATTATCCACATGTGATCCGGATCATGACCAAATACCAACACATTCAAATGCGAACAGATTAGTAGTCAGGAAAAACTGCATATTTCTTCCAATTCTTCGAAAAGTGTTTGATTAATCGTTTGCAGTTCTTTAAAACCACTCACAAACAAAAAGAAGAACGAGCTTCTTATTTCTCGCGCAAAAAGTAAGAAAATGAAGGGCTTTGATGATAAAGGCGCCTAGAAGGTGCAAAAGCTTCTGAGGCGTGTTACGGAAGCTCCAATAAGCATTAGTCATATGCCCAACGGTTACCTTCTGCGGCAATTTCTCAGTAAGATATTTAAGCATTACCCGGAGGCGTAAAGAGGCTATGCTTGCTCGCCAGTGTTCGCAAAGTTTTCAATGTTACTGTATGAACTATAAAAATCTGCAGTTACTCATTTATACTTGTAGATAATTGAAATAATTTTTTGAAAGTCCAAACTAACCAAAAATTTTTTTTGGATTGTGGCCGCCACCAGTCCCCCTTTCTTTAGAAGAAAACATTCAAAAAATTTTAGAAGCCTATGCGTTTTTTGTGCCCCAGTCTCAGCGTATAGAGAATTTTGTTCTCAGCATATCAAAATGCAATGCGACTCGATTGTTAAACGTCTTCAAAATGCGGTTCATAATGCGAACACTCCAAATTTTAGGAGTTTCTGGACTTTTTGGAGGAAATTCAAAAACCGTCGGTACCACTTGAAAGAGCATATCCGAAAACGGTATATGCGGCACAAAAATGGCGCCGAATGCAAATTTCTAGCGGTTCACAGTTATACATATACCTCAGAAGACCTTTGTTACTTGAAGGCACAGCTTTCCGTCTTTTTGCTATCAAATGTCCTATGTTTTTTGTTTCTGACATGGCAAAAGCTCTGCACCTACTTCGCGCATAGGATTTTTATACGCCGCAAAATGATCAGCGCTTGTTTGGGTCTGAAGCAAAATTTCTGTCTAGAAACTTTTGAAAAATCACTTTAATGTGCTTGTTGTGCGGCTCACATGCAAACATTACGCCAGTTTGCGAAAAATTCCGGTTTTTCACGATGAATTTAGAGCAAAAAGTCAAAAAAACACTTCTCTTTAAATGAAAGCATACCCAAGAAATTAGAAGAAGAGTGCTTTCAGATAATATTAGGTTGTCCCGAAAGTTTTGTCGGTTTTTTTCATCGCTCACTAAAACTCAAAGAACACCAGTCCATAAGCGTTTCAGGTACCATTTGATTTAGATTTTCATCCTCTTTCTTACAGCTATACTTGCTCTCTGGCTTACGCTGTCTTCACAACGTTATCGCCATGGCTTTTTGAGCAGCTCAACAGTAACGCCAAAACTTTCCCGAATTTCAAAAATTTCTATTCTGACACTTCTAAGGAGCGCTGGTAACTGTCATGTAGAGCAAAGCTTTGGCTAAATTGTACCTATTTTAGATTACGTGGGTCACGTTTACCAAGTCCGTTATAAATATTTATTTAATAAAAACCGCGGCTTTTTGATCACGTTCACCTCGTAAAAGTACCGAAAATTCCAAAAAGCTGCTTTTTCAAAGCAAGTCAAACTGGGTAGTGTTGCATAAATAGTGTTTAATAAGAATCATGTTGCAATTCGCAGGAACTTCAGAAGTTTTCGTGTTTTTGCTGCAGTTGCGTGTTTCATGACCTTGCCAAAAATCGAGACCTCCGAAGAAATGATTTTTTGGAGCGAAAATCAGCAGATTAGCGGAATCTAAAAATATGATCTTGTAGTCCGAGAATTGCTCTATTTAATCCTTACTTAAATCTTTCTGAAACTTTGGAATGAAATTTCCAAAAATTAGCCGAATTTTGAGCAGACAAAAATGACGGGCGAAGATTTTCAGCAACTATCAAAGAAAGCATACAGGATTGTGGTTCGAAAATCTAACCACAAGAAAGAGAAGGAAAAGCTGCATCGAATGCATGCTGAAGCTCATTCAGATCTTCATTGTGCGTGGTCTTAGAGTGGTCTGAAAAAACAGACAAAACCTTCGGGACGACCTAATATGCAGTTTTCTAAAACAATGGGATTTTGTTTTTCATCAGCACTTTGAAAAAGGGGTGTGAAAAAAAACCTGAATCCATTTTGTTACAACCTAATAGATTCGCTGAGCTAACTCTTAAACTGCAACAGAGATAAATAGTACAGTAACACTTAAATCCATGAGTGGCGCTGAATGAGCGACATATAGGCCCGTAGTAAAGTACCGTCAGGGCATCTCCCCTGAGGCGGACCGGAGTTGATATCTTGGCGCCTCAGTCCAGCACCCGGCGAGCTATTGATCTGGATGCAGATCGCTTCCTGGACATTATAATCAAGTGCGTTCTCGAAAAAACAACCACTTGATCCGATTTGGTTGAATGGATAAGTCATTGGAATTACACGCGCGCGGCCGTGGTTCGACTCCGCCCAGCGACACAACTTTTGCTGCATCGCCGGGCAATCTTTGATAGCGGCCACCGTCCAATCGATGGTGACCGCTAGCAAGGATTTCGCCTAGCAAACACAAAGATAAAACAAAAAACATTTCGTTACGAAAATTTCGCGACAAAACGAAATGGTTGCAACATGAATTCAATGAAATGAACAAATGAGTCTTCGTTTTGGACAGCTTCAAAAAAAAAAACCCAGTAAAGTTTACAAGAAAGAGAAGAATTTGTTTTTTCCGTCTTTCTCGCCAAAATCAGCTGTTCATCGATCCTCTCCTTTTCGGGCGCGGTTGTGCAATTTTGCGCCGATTTTGTCTGCATTTTTGGGCAAAGTGGTGTGTATTGTAAGTTACTCAGGAGCAACTTACGACGATTTTCTCTGCGTTTCCTCTTAAGCACACTATTTCTGGACATCATCGCTCATATCATCTCCCATGACCCGGCAGGGGAGATCATCTCCCTGCCGAACGTCACCTGAGGCTCACCTCTCAGGTGACCTTGCATCCCTATAGCATGGGGATATGGGCGGTCGTCATTTTACTGGCAAAACCTCACATGAAGGTCTCAGGGGAGATCATCTCCCATGATCGAGCTTTACTACGGGCCATATAGATACACAGACGTTACTTGCAATCAAATGAAGACTAAAAAATATTAGAGGGTAAATATACGATCACTGATTATTACAAAAGAGCCGGCTGTAAATAGCAATTCCTGAATAGAACAAGACGTCAGGTATCTAAATTTTTAAGGCCAAGTTACTCAGGGGGGAAAGCCAACCACCTGCGCACAGTCGAGCCTCGTAGGCATAGATTGCAACAATATTAACCTCGTTGGGCAGTTGTCATCCAGGGCAATGTCATCCCTGCGTATTTGCGTATTTGTTTGAACTAACAAGGGAAAAATACTAACTTAGATTCGCCTATTGAGAAGAGAAACATATAGCTAGGAACAGCTAGGAACAGCATATTTGGGATCAGCTTGAAAGCTGATCCCAAATATACTGTTCTTAGCTGCTAAGCATTATTCTGAAACGAGTTATGGTCTCAATTCTACGCAAAGTTTGCGTGCTCCTCGATCTACTGACGCTACAGCGAGGTTAGGTGGTTTTGCAATTGTATGATGCTTTCTTTTGAGATCGAAAGAATTAATCTGATGCTAGTTTAACATCGCGGCACTTTTTTTCGAATAGATTCTAATCTACACGCCGTCTTATTACATTCAGAAGTTTGTTAATTATTCACAACAGCAAGCCCATAACTCACTTCAAAATAATGTGTCTTATCTCAAAAGGCAAATTTAAATTAGTATCCTTCCCTTGTAAGATACTTGTTTAGATAGATGCCACACCAATTCCCATTTCAAAGGCGGTACCAATGACTGAAAGAAAACCTCCGAGTCATTGATGGGATCTATGAAACTTATGTACGAACAACAAGATTGAAATCATTTTTTCAGATATTTACCCTAACTTCACGCGTACAAGGCGCGGGGGATTTTTTTCCAAAATCGACCAGCCCAGACAAACCAAAGGACCTTACGACCAAAGGGCCTTATGCCTTGCGGCATAAGGATTGTTTTCCGAGATAATTTAACACATTGACGACCGCTTGACACACATGGTGTGTCAAGCAATGACTACCGCGTGGGACCGCTTGACACACCATGTGTGTCAAGGCTTGAATTTTGGTAAAATGACTGCTATCCTGAAATAAACTCACTCCATGAGCTTTCTTTTGCATAAAATCTAAGGATGACTTCTACCTTTCTTATCAGCCTTTCAGATCTACTGCAGATGTACTGTAGATGGTAGTATGCGTAATTATAGTTGAAAAAGTGGGCTGGTCCGCAAAAAGGCCTTGGTCCCAAAAGGCAAACAACTAAAAATCTGCATGGTCGTCAATGTGTTAAAGCGGCTGAGGGGCTTAGTCGAAAAATCGAAAAATATGCGCCTTGTACGCGTTAAATTAGGGTAAATTTTGCATAACTGTTTGTAAGCTACAACAACTACAACAATATATGCATTGGCGGTCAGAGGGTGGCAATGTCGTTTTGGCGAAGATCTGTATCCTCTACATGCTGGTGATACGACAACTGAGTGTAAAAAATGCACAACACAAAAAAATAACTACCCTTATCAGAAGAACTTGAGAGATGACTATTGAAATTTGATTCCATTATGCTCAAACGGCATTCCACAATACAAAATTCATTCACAAGAAACAACATTAATCTCATTGAAGTTAAGGAGTCAACAATACAATTGTAAATTGGTACTTTCGTAATGATATTGTAATCGTGAGGGATTCTTCATTATTTTCCTTTTGTCTGCGTGCCCTTGATTATGGAACGCCACCCCCCGATCTTTCCGCTGGCTTCTTCATTTCAGCATCTTCCTTTTTCGCTCCTGCTTCTTCCGGTGATTTCATTTCCGCATCCTTCACCTTCTTCTCTTTCAACTCCTTCTTTTCCCTTTGTTCTTTCCTCTTGTCCATTTCCCTGTTCTTATCTTCTTTTCCTATCGGCAGCTTTTCAACCTGCGGTGCCCCAGGCTTTTTCTCCAAAGCTTCCTTTGGCTTTTTGGTCACTGCATCATCAACTTTCTGTAAAGTGTACAGAATGCATAATGTCAAATTGTTACACAGACGTTCACCTCCCGACTCAATTCTTCAAAGGTCTTACGATGAGACTTCTGTAATGAAAAGGATATGTAGAATGTTGTTCCTGATTGACATTGAAATTGAAGTATTTGCACTAACGTTGAATACGTCTATTGTAGACCCTATTCTTGTGAATTCGTTGAGTGCAGGATCAAATTGAACTTTTACAATTTCAGCAGATTTCATTGTATCCATCGCATGCTTCTGTAAACGGATGGGTGAAGGACCTCATAATGTTCCACTTTATGACAAAGTGATGGAATATAGCACCAAAAATTGCAAGTAATTTAGCTTGATGATGCAGTTGCCTTTTTATCAAGGAAGCTAGAGCTTGAAACCTCTGAGGTAGGATTTATCACTGTATATCAACAACTTTCAAGTATTGCATACATCTTCAGGAAAAAAATCTATTATAAGGTGGCCTCTCACGATGGATTCCAAGCTCGAACTTTTTCGGTGAGTATGTTCAGGGTTTGGGAGAAGTGTATCAAATCTACATGTTATAAATTACGTTGAGAAATCAAATTTTAAGAGCTGTAACTTGTGTAGATAAGCAGCAGCAACAGCGAAAAAGAGTGAAACCATAAAGCAAATGTAATATGAAAATGTCATTAAAGCTATCTTGTCACTGCTCATATGATGCTTTGATGGAGAAACGCACCCGATTTCTAAAGGTTTGCAGGTTTTCGAAATCCAAAAACAACTAGTAGATGAATGAACACATAGAGAGGAGCGCTATTGAAGCTGTCTTGCTTTCGATTAGGAAATGTGCATAAATTCAAGATGAGCCTTCCTGAGGCATTCATATTGAAGCAACGTTGCTTAGTTTTCTTCCTTCTTGCTAAAGTCGAAGGATATCCTTTTCCAACTCAGTCACTTCAAAAATCATTAGATCCACTAATAAACAGAAAATTGTAATGAAAGAAGTGGAAAAGATCGTTTGAATGACATTAATCTTTCATGATAATCGTTTTGATCCAAAATGTTTGAGTTTCTCGTCATAATTTTTGAACACATAAAATTCAGTCCGAATAAATGCGTCTTTGGCTTACCACTTCTCCTTCAAGGTCTCTCATATGCACTAGTGGCTCCGTCACTTTGAAGAGGCTCATATCTATTTCTTCGCTTTTCATTTTCTTTGGTCTCTTAAAATGCAATCATCGATCTATACTTGAATCAAGCGTTGTTGGTAAATTGTTAGTTACTGTGCATGCCAGAAATTTTTGTATGTGGGCCGGTTCCCCCAGATATTGCGCACATATGTTTTTAAAACCGGCCCACCCCGTAGGCTATTTTTCGCGGCAAAGTTCCCACTCTTTATACTGATTAATCGATTTTGAAGAAAAATGTATTCTAATCAAATGCTATCAGACTACTTTCAACTTTTGTGTAAACAATAGTGGTAAAACTCATTTGCATTTCACGATGAGGGAGAATGATAATTGAAGGCAATGAGTTAGTTGGTATCTATCCTGCGCTTCTCGAGCAACAGAAGAAAATTGATCCTTTAAAGTTGCGCACCATATCTGTCATTGTTGAAGCAGTTAGGTCGTGCATGCGGAACCGGGCATGATAGCTAGTGCATTACAATAACGCTCACCTCTGTCGGTCTGTCACGAAAATCAATGAAGAATGATTTACAATTCCTAAAAGCATGTGGTAGTGTCATAACAAGGGAGATTCAGTTTTGTTCAGGATTCACTGGCGACCAGTTAGAAAAATGATGGTGACGATACAGTCGCCACGCGTAGTAACCACATGCAGTGATCAACATTTTTGCCACAAATTTGCAACGCTTAAAGGCAGTACATCGGCAGAATGAGACCCGTGGCAAAACAAGGTGACAGGGTAAGAGCCCCCATATGGAACCTATCGGCCAAAGTCCGATCTTTCTCTGCCACTTCTAACCCCTGAAATTTCGAAGCGAAAGCAGCGCTCATCTCCTGTCCTCTCCGAACCCGCTCACCCCATGGACGAGTGAACGCGAAGCCCGTCATGGCGAAGACGCAGAGTCGTTGCGGGACCTCATGCTTATAGCATTGCGGCTGGCGCTCTGACCGCGGAAGTCACTCGTCCATGGGGTGGGCGGGTTTGGAGAGCATAGGAGATAAGCGCTGCTTTCGATTTGAAATTTTGGGGGTTAGAAGTGGCAGAGGAAGATCGGACTTTGGCCGATAGGTTCCATATGGGGGCTCCTACCCTGTGACCTTGTTTTGTCACGGGTCTCATTCTGCCGATGTACTGCCTTTAAGCTTGTAGGTCTATCAGCGGATGCGAATAAGCGGATCCGATGCATATCCTACAGATTGCGCGTTAAACGAATCCGCGCAACGTTGCTAAACAGTGTTCATATTAAAATTTTTGCAAACTCATAAATTTCTTCGAGATAAAAATGTGTAACTCACCTTGTTTCGCCCCAAAAAGCAACTCAATTTCTCTATTTTTCTGCGAAAATAAAAAAACGCAAAAAGTTTAATGGAGTAAACGGTTATTTCTCAAGCTTTTACTTGAGAAGTTGAGAAAATCTAAATGTTGAGAGATCTTTAGTCAGAGATGTAGCTCGCGGTAGTCACTGTCGTTTATGACGACTATCAACTTATGGCTAGTAGAGTTTTTTTTGCAGGTAGGTCTCATCTTATATATAAAGCTGAATGTCTGTATGTCTGTATGTCTGTCTGCCTGTCTGTACGTATGTTCCGAATAGAAAATTCCTCTGAACCGATCCGGACCAAACTTGGCACACATACACTTCGGGCCCCGGCGGATGTCATAGGCTACTTTTCGTCATCGATCGATATCGATTTTATCGATTTTTATCGATTTTTTTTGCAGATTTCACCTACGGGGCTGGGAGTTGGCACAGGGGGCTAAGTGAGCATGGGGATTACGAATACTATATCAGTTTTTGAAATCATCCAATACTTTTATCGATTTTACCGATTTTTTGCAAAGTTTGAGCTACGGGGCTGGGAGTTGGCAAGGGGGGGGGGAGTATCGAGCATGCTGATTACGAGTACAATATTAGCTATTCGGCTATCCGGGCCCCAAATTTTTTTACCGTACGTCTTGCTCAAACTTCGTGTTCAGGGGTCATCTTACATGCTGATTACAGATATCACACTTTCTCCGCAGAACGTCTTCCCGTGTGGTTACGGTAGGTGTACGGTAGGAAGTCAACATCATGAATTCGGCTGGAGTTCGATCCAGAAAACTTATTCGACATGCTGATTACGAATTTCATACTTTCTCTGCGTATTGGGACCTTTTCATAGAGTTATGGTGGTTATGCGATATGGGGTCGAAAACATAGATTTGCTTTAAACTTCGTCTAGGTTGGTCATTTAGCGCGCTGAACATGAATATCATGCTGATTTCGCAGGATAGTGCATTTTCTCGGGTTACGGTGGGTGTAAATGGGCCGAAGTTCCAGATTTGCTCAACACCTTAGCTGTAACGGTTCACAAGACTGCTTATAAATATGATGCTTGCTCGCTGTCATAACGCATTAGTGAAGTTATGGTGGGGCAGGGTTTGAATGGACATTTTTTCGCTTTGGGGCCAATTTAGATCCCAGATATTCAAGAGATGGGGAAACGGTCGTTTTGCATAGCGGTCTCCAGCGCCATCCTGATAACCTGTCCCAACGGTAACGCACGCTGCAAATCTCCCTCCCCTGTTTTTGCTTAGGCAAAAGCCGCCGAAGGGTGTCTCGCGCGTGGCAGTGGTCCTATAAGGGAAAGCATTGCTGTCGTGGAAAACTTTTATATCACACGAATTGCCATTATCGTGGGGATTAAGCACGATATTCTTGAAACAGCACTTTAGGTAATTACCTGCCAAGGTTTCAGGCAGGTCCATGATTTTTACCCGCTGCCACTCGAATGGACTACTATATTTGCCATCAGCGGCTTGGATGACCGCCATATACCGAGTTTGAGCAAGACACATCACAAAAACATTTAAGGGCCTGGATAGCCGAATAACGCCATCAGTTTTTAGAATTATCCTTACTTTTATCGATTTTATTGTTATTTTGCAAAGTTTGAGCTACGTGGCTGGGGGTTAGTGAGGAAGGTAGGTGAGCATACTGATTACTAACACAGTGGGAATAAGGAATTGCATGTAGAAGTGGGCACAGATAAAGGTGCACAGGGATAGAAATGGAACCTTTATCGTTTTTGACAGGGCCGGGCGGAGACGGGTAAGCCAGCTAGTCTTACCATAAATACCGATTTACATAGAAAAGCTTCTAGAATAAGCATAATAGACTCCCAAATTCGTAAAATGGGGTCTTGCCTACTTCAATCGTGCGGTTTTTCATAAAGAGAGTACCAAAAGCATTCCTAACGTAAAAGTTTGACAAGTTCACCCTAGAAATTTCGCTGAACCTCAGTTTTAATGATGATATGAAGACTCAGTTTTTGTTGAGCGTAGAACTCATCCGGTCACGTTGTGTAAAATGCGCATATCAACCAAAACTGTCCTTCATATCCTCGAAAGTTGATTCCAAGAAAAGTTACAATGATTTGTTTCTAATAGATGTCTTCGCCAACTTTTCCTGAATCTCGCCAAAATCTTCTCCACATCGCCCGCGCTCCTTATTATCTACGGCTACAGGCGGCAGGCCCTTGATCCCTCCTGTACCGAATCTCTTCACTGATGGCAAACAGGAAGCTGACTGTCGTTCAGAAACGGAAGCCATTTAAGGTGAAACAGTCATGCGGCGCGACACAAAAGCTAACAACAGGCTTCTCAGAGTTATGAGAAAAAGTTCAACTAGATCCTGGATGATAGCGCTCATTGACACGTGCAGATGCAAATATCCATAGATGGCTTCTCGATGATACCACAATTTTTGTCAACATAATTATGATAAAGATTACGAAGAAATCCCACTATTCTATTTTTTGATCAATTAACACACCTTTTTTCTCATTTCCTTGTAAATATCTGTGTGCGACTTCTTTTCTGTAAGAAAGAAACAGGTAGTAGTATCCTTGCACTCCAAATAAGCTCTTGATTTCTGAGAGCTCCATGCATTCACATACCTTTAGGTAGGCCGAGGAACAAGCCCTGACCACAGCAATAATATAAATTCGATGTAACGAAAATGCCTATTACAATCGCAAGGATGACAACAACGGCGCAAGCATCCCTGAAAACTTTCGAGAGAAAATGACTATATCTTCTATCGGAATGACATGTCAACTCCTGGGTTTCGCGCGGCCTGTCGCTTAAAGGCAGTGCCCGGGCAGAAACTCAATTTTAAGATTTTGTGCTTATACGGGGCCTATTCGCCATGCTGAATCTGAAAATCCACACTGGAAAGCGCGAAAAAGGCAAAAAAAGAGCTCTATCGCAGGAGGAAAACAGCAAGTTGGCGGGTCCTCCCCACCGTGAGTTCACTCTCCCAGCTTCCGTAGCGGTCTTCTCCATTCTGTTAGCCGTCCTAACATCGCTATCGGTCAAGTGCGAATGACTGACTTGGAACCCAAAGCGAGAAAATTGCTCCGAGAGCTGGAGCGTGAATTCACAGTGGGGAAAACCCCGCCCGCCCGCTGATTTCCCCGTCTATGTTAAAGCCGTTTTTCGCTGTTTTCGCGCTCTCCAGTGTGCATTTTCAGATTCAGCGTAGCGGATATGGCCGGGCAAGCAAATTCTCAAAATCGAGTTTTTACCCGAACACTGCCTGCTGCGCCGCAGCTGCGGACGTCTGCGGCTTTCCATGCCTGGCAGCCTTTAATCGCCGCTCAAAGGGAGCGGCTCGGCAAATCCTCAAAGCATATGTTTCTCGCTTATGGGGTAATCTGCCGCGCTGTTTTGAATATTCACTTTGGAAAGCACAAAATTGGCCAGAATGAGCCTTTTTTAGGGCTATCAATTTCGGACATGGGCGTAAACACAAAGACCGCCATGGCGAAGTCGTAGAGCCGTTGCGACACCCTCGTGCTTACAGCATTGCGACATGCGCGCTCTGGCGGCTCCAGGTCAGGAGTCACACCACGCCGGCGGCCTCTCGCCGCGCCCAAATTTTGTGCCTCTCAAGAACTCTCCGGTGTAAAGTGGCCCGGCGCCATGTAGGGGGTGAGGGGTGGCGGTAGATACATGACTCGATGCCATGAGTAACACTGCGGCAGGAGTTCTGACGGGAGCTAAGGAGCTGTATTGCTTGACTTCCCGTTGCTGCGTCGCCTCGCAAAAAATCGTGACTCCTGATCTGTACCCCGCTCCGACAGTGGGGGAAAATCGCAAGGTGGGGGGAGGGGTCAGAGATGGGAACTGTAAAGGGCGGCAAAGCGTGCTTTTCGCTTTGAAATTTCGGGGGTTGGAAGTGGCGATGAGATCAAACTTGGCCTACAGATTTCTTCATTATGGGAGGTTTGCTTCAACTTTGTGACGTTGTTTTACCATGGGTCTCATTTTGGCTTTAGAGAAAGTTAGAGAAAAGTGCAAAGGATATGTGAGATGTGAGCAGATCCAAGCGACGCAGCCATGAGGACACGAGCCCCACGTACTGAAGACGCTGGGAACAAAGGATATTTATGAAAGCGTTCTTCCGAATGGCTCTAACAAGCATGGGCCGCTTGATATTTTTTTGAAATCACAAGTACTGCAGGCTGCCTCAATCACTGCCGCGATCGACCACACATCCGCTTCAAGTTCCTCACGCGGCGTTTAACTCGAGCAGTCCAAACGGCCGTCTTGATCGGAGGTTAGCATGAAAGGCCTCGCGCGCGGATGCGTTGTAACACAAGGAAGGACGTTTATATCGAAACAAACTGACCAGTAAACGCTCTGACGTGTGTCGATTGTGCTGATAATATCATCATGCATGATATGTGGGCTAAATTATGAAAAAACATGGATGTAGGCAATTTTTTGCTTTATCGCATACTGAAGCACAACTAGACCGTCATCATCTCCATCAGAATTTTCAGCCATACTGATTAGCGTAAGAAGTTGATCTGAAATTGCAGCCAGTTGCATGAGTACTTCAAAATGTGCGGAGAACCTAGAGGAGGAGACGATATAGCAGATAGCCGCTATTGGCACATGGCAATTTGTAAATGCTACATACTCATGAGAACTAATGAACTAAACTGCTGATTAGGACAATGCTTTTGAACCTTAGGAAAGATTGTTAAATCAGCTTCATGTAGTCTATTACCAATTTTCGGTCCCATGCTAATTCTCGTTTCTTTGTTGCATCGAGTTCAACTCCTCCACAAATCCTATAGTGGTAGCTATTCTGAGACCTTTGGCGGCCTCAAACAAAGCAAAAACTTATTGTTAATATTCTAATAAGAAAGAACGCGGAGATTTGTATAGTTACTTTTTTTATTCTAGTAAATGGTAATAACTATAACAAACGATGCAAGTGACTGCTTTTCTAACGCACTAATATTTCAAAAACTAAAGATTCTCTGGCGTTTGCCGAAATTTTGCGATTTTTCCAAAATGATGAAACTTTGATATCTACTAGTTTGGTCCAAACCTGCAGTTTTTGAAACTTCTCTTAAAGGCAGCGTTTGGGCAAAATTTCGAAGAAAACTTTTTCCGCTTACCTGGGCTTATTCTTCCCGCTGATTCCGAAAATGCAGTTTGCAGAGTACGAAAATGTCGAAAACGAGCTGTTTCAGAAGCTGTTGTTTTCGAATATGAAAGCTTGCAGCCGAGGTGAAGACGCAGAGTCGTGGTGGGATCGTACCTCTTGACTGTTTGCGACATACAGACTCTGGCTATCGATTGAAGGGGCGGGCAGGTCGCCGGGGCGTCCCGATCGCCACTTCTGAAGCGGTTTTCTCGCTTCAGAAGCGAAGTGGTGCAATATCACATGGGCTAGAGCTTTATCAGCGCGGGAGCCCCTATACACTAAATTTTTATATCTGCCCAGACGCTGCCTTCAAAGACAGCGCCCAGGCAAATCGAAACATATGGGGATCTCACGTGGACAGTAATTTTGGGACCCTAAGACACTGCCCAACCGGCAGCTCAGATGGTGCTCTAATGGCTGAGATATTCGCCTCCATACTGGACCCCAGGATCGTATTTCGCATGGATTCATGGCGCGACACTTCAGTATCGCGTGGACTCGTGCGAAAGCATGCAAACACGAAGCAATTCGTCCGATAATACGATCCTGGGGTCCAGTTTAGAGAAGTGTATCTCAGCCGTTAGTGAAACAATTACGCTGCCGCTTAGGGCCGCGCCTTAGTTAGGGCCCCAAAATTACTTTCCACTCAAAATTCCTACAGGTCCAAATTTCGTGGACGCTGGCTTCAAAATCGTTCATAATCGAGGTAGACAAATCCTAAACAGTGCATGCGGAATTCTTCCTCCTAGCAGTGATGTTGTTGTTCCGAGATCTTTTGCTCGAATAATCGCCAGAATCCTCAACCCATGGTCTCTACCCACCCTTATTTTAGCTTTTTTTGAATTCTCATTTTTAACTATCATGAGAGTTTTGATCACTGTTGGATGGAGGAGACAAAATGCAAGACAATGAATTTTCTGGGATCTCTCGACTAGCTTGCAAGTATTCTCGAATGAATTTTTTTTAAATGAAAGTCTTCAATTTTGCGAAGCCGTACAAACGCTTCGAACATCAAATAAAGATCCCCAATTTAAAACTTCCAAAAGTGCATTTAGAGTGAAGACCAACTTCTCAGACAGTCGATCGGACCCCTCCAGCGGACAGTCGAAATCTGCTAGAGCCGCGGCGGACCCAGTTGACCAATGAAAGCGGGGCGACGGGGCGGTCCCTTCTTGTGACGTCACAAAGAAGGCAGATCGGACCTCTCCGGCAGGCTTGCAAATCTCTCCGCCGCAAGTACGCCAGATTTGCTGGGGTCGCGGCGCAGAATTTGCCCGCCGCGAGTCCGCCAGATTTGCTGGGGTCGCGGCGCAGAAAATCGGAGGGGTCCTGGACAGAAAATCGGAGGGGTCCGGGACAGAAAGTGGGAGGGCTCCGGCGCACAAAATGCGAGGCCTCCGGCGCACAAAATGGGAGGGGTCCGGCGCACAAAATGGGAGGGGTCCGGCGCACATATATGTGCGCAGTCAATTTGCTGTGGTACGCAGCTTAGCAATTTCGAAAATAAGTTGCCGTCGTTCCTCGTCTTACTCGTTTTTTTCGTTCTTTCGCGCTCGTTTTTCTTTTTTTGGTTTTTCGTGTTCCTCGTCGGCGCGCTGGGGTTTATTTGTTCATCTCCTTCTTTTCAGGTTTCAGGTTTTAGGTTTTCGTGCGGATGCACTTAGTCACTTTTAGTATTTGGCTCTTTTCGACTTGCTGAGAATCGTTGACTAATGATGGAGTGGTTTTTGTAATTGAGACTCGGCCTCGGTACCCTTATGTGGTGTCTCTTGAATTATTTCCGTGTTTCCGGGATTGATTGATGCTAGAATTATCCGTACACTGCTTGGCTCTGTCTCAGGGAATATCTTAGATTAGTCTGTCGCATTCTTGCTTAATGCAGATCTGCTATGCAAGTTCATGCAACTCTTTCACATTTTTCAGTATATCGTCTACTTACAGTTTACCTGTTAGTAATTGTGACAGGCGCTTAAGAAATTTTCATTTTTTTTTCGAGATTCCAAGTTCTCAAACTTTGCACAAAGTCATAATATGCAGGGAAAGTCTGTGTCCTTGTTTCTGATGATAGATAAGCCTTCAAATTCGCATTCCAGCGTGAGGGTCACTCTAGGAGAAAAGGTCCACAGAAATGTCCACGTACCGTCGCACCGCAAACCAAACTTTACGTGGCTGCAGGTGAAAGGAGAGATATCACAGTGAAGGTGAGTGGTACATTCTACGAAGTGCTCATTTTTAAGCTTGGATTTGTAAGGTCCAAAACCTCGATCCGATCTTCATGACGGATTTTCGATGTCACTTCAAAGTAGGAAACGTTGAACGCAAAAAACCTGCTGTCGGGACATTCGACGATAATGTGATATGAGGAAAATTGCAATTGTTTTGATTTTGCATCCAATTCTGTTTGTGCTTGTGACGAGATACAGTTCGATCATTACGGGCTTGGTGTATCGGGAGGATCAGCTCCGGTCGAGTTCAACGTTGTGTGGTCCTCGAGAGATTCTTCCAGAAAACACACTCTGGATAACATTGGTGGAGCGGCCGTGGAGGTTAATCGGAATTTTTTTAGTGATAAATGTCGTAATTTGTGGTTTTTCCAGGTCTATAAGTGCGAAGCTCTTGCATCGAACTGTGGCCGATGTCTTACGCTGAATGCTGAAAAGTATGAATGTGGCTGGTGTGTTATAGACAACAGATGTGTCAGACCAATGGCATGGCAAGATGCTTGGCAAGGTACGTTTAGTTACTGGTTCACTAGTCTCATTACACATGGTCACCCCACCTGATAGTACTCTCTCGCTAGTGAAAGCGACAATTCCACAGGTGAACGCAGCAGCAGTAGACCTAACCTTCGTTTTTCCACCGACGGGTCCCTTTTTAGGACTGAAGTCTTCATTAACTGGATTTGCACACAGCTGCGTGCTATTTAGCCAATCTTGTGGTGATCTTGCCAAGCATGCCATTGGTCTAATACATCTGTTGTCTATAACACACCAGCCACATTCATACTTTTCAGCATTCAGCGTAAGACAACGGCCACAGTTCGATGCAAGAGCTTCGCACTTATAAACTTGGAAAAACCACAAATTACGACACCTATCACTCAATAAATTCCGATTAACCTCCACGACCACTCCACCAATGTTATCCAGAGTGTGTTTTCTGGAAGAATAGCTCGAGGACCACACAACGTTGAACTCGACCGGAGCTGTTCCTCCCGATAACCAAGCCCGTAGTGATCGAACTGCATCTCATCACATCTGGCACAAACAGAATTGGATGCAAATCAAAACAACTGCAATTTTCAGTAAATCGTTTTGCAGTCGATTTGAAATAAATGTTCCGTCTTGTCTTCATTCTTCTATTTTCTATCTACAAACGCTAGGGGTGAGAGGGAGGGGGTAGAGTACGGGGGTGAGGGTCGCGCTGAAGTCCTACCCGGGGGGGGGGGGGGGTGGGGTCGTGTTCGGCTAATTTGCGTGGGGTTTAGAGACGAAATTGGGGTTTGGAGTAATTAGGCTGATTACAGTATGCCGCGGCAGACTTGCGGAGCACAAAATCGGGGGGCTCCGGCGCACAAAATCGGGGGGCTCCGGCGCACGAGTGGCAGACCCACCGCTGGGAAAACCCCGCGGCCCTGCCATTTCTGCGCCGGAGGGGTCCGATCGGCTGTCTGAGTTAACAAGCAAATATGTCTTACTGCTTCGCTGTGTTTACCGGGGATATTGATTTTTCATTTGCGGGCGTAGCCAGAGGTGCATCTTAAAATTGCTGTAGAACTACGATGATTTCATTCTCGAGACCCTCAAAAAGAAACGTTTGTCAGAAAGAGCTGAACAATCTGCGTCGAATGACATTTTAGTTGCTCGTTGTTTGATGCTCGTTGAGGTTTGAAATGACCAAATTCGAAAGAATTATTTTAGAAAATTTGTAAATTCAGTTATGAATACCAAAAAGTGCATGTTCTTAGTCCGTTTTATTCAAGGTGATCCAAGCTCTCCTAAATTAGAAAGAGATTTTTGAAAAATGGAATTTTCTTGTGGCGAAAGTTCCTCGCTAAAAAGTGGTGTCGGAGAAGCTACGCAACAGTATTTTTCGTCGGCATTGGGTGATTCAAGTGAGAATGTTCAAAGCCTGAGAGATGTTATCCGTCAATTTGTATCTCGTAACCGTTTTATGGTGTAAATCTGTCAAGACGCTGTTGTAGATCCAGAAATTAACTTATACACTAATGATCCTGTTTCGCCTCTACCCCTAGACAGGTAGCTGTATTAGACCACTCCCGAGGCTCATCAGTAGGGAGGAGTGGGCTGGAGAAGGAAGAGAGTGATAACACCGTAACAGGGTTGCCTTTTATACCTGTGGGGTAGGTCAGATAGATCAAAGACAAGGCCAAGGATTCAAGTCATGCTATTTACCATTTTGTAAACGAATCTTTTTACATTTTTGAATTTGCTTAGTTGATTGTATTTATATGTAATACATTTGTTAAAAGTAACGCATTTGATTATTCCTAGTTGAATTACTTCCTTGTCATAATTCAAGCTAAGTAATAGTCTAATCAAATTTTCAATCCTTTCATAAAAATCCTCAAATTTAGTGCAGGTTCTGTAAATTCGCAACACTTCTGTATAAATAATAGCACATTTGAGAGTAAGGCTTATATGTGAAGTTTTCCATGTGAAAACCTTACAACTTCAAAACCAAAAGCTTCAGTTTTATTGTATTGCTTAGTGATGATGACATTATTTCTAATAGAAATACTTAGGTCCAGAAAATTACAATCATAGAGAGTAGGATTAGTAGTCTCCATACTCAAAACGTTTTTATAAACTTGAGTCAATAAGGATTTTACGTATTCTTGTGTTTGATCGTGAATAATTAAAATGTCGTCCATGTATCGATATGCATGGAAAAGGAATTGATATTTTTGTATCTTACATGCAAATGTGTACTCAAAGTAGGAGAGAGTAAGGTCTGCAATTATAGGGCTAGCATTATCTCCTTGAGGTACTCCAACTATCCGATGGAATATTTGGTTGCCGACTCGGCAAAAACTATTACGCAGAAGTAAGGTCTGCAATTATAGGGCTAGCAGAAAGTTTTTCTTACCAAAACGGTTTGAGTAGAGCATTCGTCGAGATGCAGAGAAGTTTGATTTCCAAAAATTGAAGCGTAAGATTTTTTATGTTAACCTACTTACTGAACACGAAGAGAAAAAACTCACAATAATAACTGCGTATGAGACATCAAAAAATTTGACCTCATCACCCTTTAAAACTCCAAACACTGAGTATGTCAACGAATCATATAGCTTTACATCCACAAGATGAGAGGGTGCGCCCGTCTCCATCCTCTTATACAACCCATTATTCTAGATTCGTAAGCGTTCGAACCAACATAGCTCTTCGCGAATATTCAAAGCACCTTCCAGAAACATCGTTTTGGGGTTTGATGGAAAGACTGTGCAGAAACACTGACATCTGAGTGCTTGGAAAGTGAGATTTTTGGACAATTTCTTGAATAGGAAACTTCAAAGAAACTTGAAAGTTGAAAAGCGCTAATACCACTAGTTCTTTGATTTACCAAGCCTGAAATTGGTATGTTATGCTTATCCAAGAGTTAGACTTGGTACCAGTTGCCACAATTTTTCCACACAAACCATGATTCCTCATCTAAAGCAACGATCTCCGGACTAATCGTTGCTCTTCCGGTTTCTAACAATGGGATTGCGTTGTTCCGAATAGCGCACAAGCTTTAAGTGCCTAAATGTTATCTTAACGAGGTCGAAATGCATTTTTGGCAATAAAGATACGACTAACAGCTTAGGTTCTGAATAAAAGAGAACGATAAGACATGGAGCGTTTGTTTCGGCAGCGATGCATCTTCGAGGTAAGGTTTTCATAACCAAAGTTTTCAGGATTTGTTTTAAACTAGTCAAATTACAGCAGTGGCCCTCTTGCTTGTCTCCATATGGCAATGGTAAGTGCCAAAAAATCTCAAAAATTTACCATATCTAAAATTTTTGATTGCAGCTATGCTGTCCTGCCTGACATCGGAGCCCCGGGCTACACTTGTGATGCTGAGTTGATGAAACCAAGTAAGAAAATCCCAACCAATGTGAACTCAGTCCGGCCCGCCGACATCAAGGTTGTGATGGCCCTCGGAGACTCGCTTACAGTAGGTTTACTGTAGTTTACACTGTAACGTATTTGATGAAATACTGTTCGAAGGCAGCGAATGGTGCTGGAGCAGAAGACCCAGTAGCAGTATTTCTACAGTACAGAGGGCTTGCCTTCCAAGCCGGTGGAGATGCTTCGCTCGATACCCACATTACGATCCCCAGTGAGTTCAAGTCATTCAAATAATCATTATTATCCAAGTGACCCCGATAAGATACAAGAAAAAAAACTTCTACTATTGCGAACATTTCAGTAACAAAAAAACCCCCTTAGAAAGTCCCAATAATGGCAAAAAGTACCTAAAATTTGCTCTAACCTGAAGAAATTTCCGCAAGATTTTCAGACATCCTCAAGAAGTACAACTCGAAGCTTTTTGGCTACTCTGTGGGTATCGGATCTCCTAACGTGTGGGAAATTTCATATCTGAATGTCGCTATGCCTGGTGCCATTGCTGCTGACCTTCCAGGACAAGCCAGAACGCTTGTGTCTTTGTTGCATAGCCATCCTGAGGTATGTTTGGATTTCAGAAAATAGTGTAAATAATCTATGGGGGACGAACATCAAAGAAAAAAATGGCACTTGCTCAAAAATATTTTCGAGGCGTTGAAAAAAATTACTGATAAACTTCCTGCAAATTTTCTTAAGTTGCGCGACAGAAGCAAATTTTATTATCTCATAAACAAAAATTTCTTTACACCAAAAAATTCGCGAAGTTTGCTTTTTGAAGACGAAAAAAAAGAGAAATACGATCAGATTTGAGTTTGGCTTTCTTGATGAAATAGCTATTTTGATAGGAGTAAACATGCGTAATTCATGATTACTATCCTTTAGTCTGTGGATTATGAGAAAGACTGGAAGTTGCTCAATATTTTCATCGGTGGCAATGACATGTGCTCATTCTGCAAAGATGGGGTGAGTTTGAGTTAGAATTTAAAAAATTTTGATGTATAAGGCGTAGCTCCATATTTTCTCAAGTGCTGTAACCCTTTGATGCTTGCCAAGGAAAATTTGAGCTTGATTTTTCAGAAGCTTGCCCCCACTGAGTGCGTGCAACACATCTATGAGGCCATTGAAATCATCTACGGCAATGTCCCAAGGGTGATCGTGTCCGTCACTGCAATGTTACAATTGGAGATTTTGAGACAGTCTGACAAAGGACGACTGTTCTGTCAAGAGCTTCATACGTATGTTTATAATCGCCATCTTCCCAGATATCATATTCTCCGTCAAAAAAATCGGATTACTAGAGGTAACAACGGGGAAGGAACCATATGTTTACTTCGCTGCATAGTTCTGCGAGCTAAAGAATGAAACCGAAAAGTGTTGAGAGCACGCTCTGCATTGTAGAAGTTTCCGCGAAATTGCAATGAAAGGGCTTTTTTCCTCAAAAGCATGATAAGTTACACATTTAGACAAGAATGCCCTTGCGAAAGCGATTCGAAGGACTTCAACAATACCTATTTGGCTAATGTAGGTCTATTCTCCTAGAATTTGTCAACCAAAACAAAGACTCCATAAACAGACATGTATCGACTATGCAAATCAAGAAATGGATCTAGCCGCTTCTGGAAGATTCGACAAGCACGACTTCGCGGTCGTTACGCAACCATTCTTCAGAGATATTGCCGAACCTCCAATGAAGGTATCTATCTAGCAAAAAGAGTTCAGAAGGGCAAAAAAATTTTTCTCTAGGATGGCCTCGTCAACAAGGAATTCTTTGCACCTGACTGCTTCCATTTCTCGCAATGGGGTCATGCTTTGGTGTCGACCTGGCTTTGGAAAAATATTCTTGAGCCAGTCGGCGCAAAAACTACACAAGGGTCAGCCAGTGTGCCAAGCCTACCTCTAGCTTGCCCAGATCCAGTAAGTGCTTTACCCAACAAGTTACAAGACACTGATTTCATGTGAAAATGTAATCAACTACTCTTTAGAAATGTCCATTCATTCGCACAAATGCAAACAGCAAGGACTGCAGCAAATACATTACTCCTGTAGCAGACACAGTATATGAAACAAATTCGATAGAATAAACAGAATAGATTAAGTGATTATGCATTATGAGTTAAGGGTCAATTTCAAAGCCGTAAATTAGTTAGTGATCGATCAGTTGTAAATCAAGGTCGAGAACATTGAAAGAGTCGTATGTGAGATTAAAAAGAAGGGCAAAAATCAATATCGAACAGGAAGGGTGATAAGATAAAGATAACCGTAAACATGCATCAGTGTACTGGCGATGATTTTCAGAAAAAATAAATAAATAGAAAAGTTTGTACAATTGGCATGGGATATAATTTGGCAGGAAGCTAATCATCAAAATTGCATATTGTGGTTTCCGTAGAAAAAATATGTATCCATAACTCAAACCACCATTAATTGGCCTCCACAGGTTTTTCTGCCGCAGATTTTTCTGCTAGGATTTTCTCGGTAAACAACACTATTTCGTCGTTTTCCGTCTTGTCCATGACCCCGCTAGGTAACTCAGAGGAGCGCAAAGAATCACTCATGATTCGATTGGCTAAACAAAAACAATAAAGGAACATGTATAAGTTATAACAGAGACGGACCTGCGCTAGTTCTTCCACTGATTTCTTCGAGTATTGTGCGAGAATTCATGTGGGACGACGAGTTGTGACCGTACAACATTGGGAGATACTGTATGGTGCCACCTGACCAGACCTACAATCGTGCAAGAGAATAATGTAGAACGAAAGAGTCATAGTGAATCGACACTCACGATAGTCAGAAGAGAGCCGCCATCAAATTTTGGCAAGAAAGTGATGATGGATGCATTTCCATAAAGCGGAGCTTCGACGAAGCCACTAAAGATTATTGTTGTAGTGATGATGAAATATGACTCAAAAAGTCAGTCTCACCTTGGAGTTAATCGAACTGTAGGAAACCAGTCGACTATAAAGATGGCAATAACAGATGTATTCTCTGAAATTTTCATATGTCCATGATCAACCCTATTCCTGCCAAACCCAAAACTAACCAGCAAAGTTTACGGACAACCTTTGGCCGTCAGGGCTCAGTGTTAGAGACTGTACCTTTCCACCAATCGTCACTATCTCCCTGCAACATCAAAAATATGCACATTCTCCAGTGAAAAAAAAGCTGGGAAAAGTACGATGAAAATGAAATCGAAAAACGAATGTAAAGAGGCAAAACCAGCAAACCTTTCCACGGCGCCTTGAATCTCAAGTTCAGAAGGATCAAACTCAACCGGCGATAGGTCGAACACTGGTATGGCATGAGAGTCACCCACCCAACGCCTGAAAAGAAAAACGTATAGCTGGACAGAGCGAAGACATGCCACACTCACGTTTCTGGGATCTTATCGTCATTGATGACCTTCTTAGCAGAGAAATTCAGAGTGTAGAGTTGACCGCTGTGTTCTGTTGCGAAGAGCAGGAAGTCTCCCGCAGGTGACCACACAGCACTAACGGCTCGCCCTGCTAGAGAACCCCATCGCTCTTCTCGCCAGCAACTTCGGTCATACACCCTAAACCTCGTAATGAAGATGTAGATAAGAAGAATATGGTGTGTACCTTATAAGGTTACCAGTATAGAGAACAGCAAGACGACGACCATCTGCATTTGGAACTATTTGGGTTACATTTCCACCAGTCCAAGCACCAAAAGAATCAACATCTCCGGTGGATATGTCAACGATCTAAATGCCCTTTTCAGAGAAGTGTGAAGCCACATGAAAGGCATACTTACCATGATCTTATTGCTATTAGGAGATACAGCAAAAAGCACATTAGTCGTAGTACGGTCCCAAACAAGCTGACTTATGGGTTCAAATGGTAACTCAATCACTTGAGCACAATGTACAGAAGGTCTGCAATTTATCATTGAAAAAAAAAAGAAGAAAGAAGTATGGAGGCATTACGAAAAATCGAGATACAGAGGATCTGTCAGAGAGCAACTTACTTGATGTTGGCCGCTTTCATAGTCAGCCTCCAGATCAAAATTTTATTGTTAGCAGCGACTGCAAGAACTCGCTGGTCGAAAGGCCTGATAAAAATCCAATTACAACGACTTATCGAACAGAATTGCCCAAATAAAAATAGCAATGGCAGTGGTTTCTCAAAAGCATGTTGCAACAATGATTACTCAGGCACTTTCTTTTGTACAAAACATCAAGAATAACGGATCAATAAAAACAAACTACTCACTCCCAAGCCATCGAAGCAACATTGGTTTGCAATGGGTGTTTCAAGGTCAACGGCGTTTTCTGACTTCGTCCGATTTTGTAGATCCTTATGTAGTTATTCGCTTGACAAATCGCTATACGTCGGCCCTCATCGTGTACGGCCACACAGCGAAGCCAATTGTTCCTCCTTTCAAATTCGAATGTCAACAATAACTCGAGCAATAGGTAAAAGCAACTGAACATAACTTACCAATTCAAAGTTGTTACGTAGTGCTGAAGGAGTTCTTCGATTCGATCTTGTCCCATCGATGGAAGAACCTTCGCAGCAACATTCGCCACCCCATTACGTACTCGCAAAACACCTCTACCTGCAGAAAACTCGCATCAGATAATCAAAAGAAGAGGGGAAAAGCGTGGCCGAGAAGATACTTACTGAGTCTGGCTAACGGCCAAAGCCTGGTATCTTCGGTAATGTGTGCAACATGATCGATCACGCCTGTTATCCCGTCTTTTTCCCTGAAAACAGGATGTCATGGGTTACTAATCTTGTCGTGGATATTATGGGTTTATGTCCTTCGAATTACGGAAATTGTCGAATTTTCACGTAAGCATACCAGGATAAACATCTGGCTACTGGGCTTGCCCCAAACGCGAGGTAGGTGACTTCTTTTGGAAGGATTTAAGACGCTATTTCAGGATAAAGCACGTGAGGGTGGGATTGGGGCTAAGTTGTCTTTGGCCTCGGGCAAAGTTCACGCGATTTCATCGTCGCGATTGATCGTGACAAGTCAACTGTAACCAATCCATTGCATGCCGATTTTCTTGCATTTCGGTCTTGATAGTTTTTCAACACGACTAATCGTGTCTAACTATCACAACCGAAATACAGGAAGATCGGCATGCAATGGACTCGTAACACTTGTCTTGTAGGATGAATCGCGACGATTGAATCGCGTGAACTCTTTCCGAGGCCTTCGGGGGTTATATTACCCAACACCACCAAAACCTGACAAGGATCCATTTGCTAAGTTAGTGCCTCCATTCAGGAGCAGAGTTCAAAAATAATCAGGACTATAATCTATTTATGAACCGTAAACACCAATTCATACGATATAAACTTTAGCACAAAATAAACTAACCATCTATCCATTGCTTGCTTGAAACGATCTGCTTCTTTAAAAACAAAAGCGTCTGCGACATCACTCTTTGATATGGAATGCTGAAGGCTGCTGAGTTGCGCTCGCTCAACAAATGGATAGTCAGCCATCTGAAAAAATAAGCCTATCCAAAATCCACTGAATAATTGTCCAAGATATAATTAATGCCTACATACAGCCTCGCATTTGGAAACAGCTCGGAACTCGTCGACATTTCCTGTGATGATGCGACCATTCGATTCTTGTATGGCATACGGTCTTCCAGCAGAGTTCAACGGAGGAAACTCCAGCAGAGACATTCTGTAGAACTATTCATATCATTTTAGGCCGAACTTGAAAAAAAAAGCAAAATTAACGATGAAAATGCGATGTCAACTAAAAGCAGCTCCGCAAAAATGGCAAATTGAAATTTGGCGGCGTGCTTGCATTCGCGCGCAGGAGGTTGTGCAGAGCACACCAGTGCATTAATGTACTACGAGTGCGGAAAGACGAAGTAAATTGGCTATACTTTATTTTGGGTGTTGTGCTGCATAAAATGGAAACGACGACAAGATTTAGCGTTATGCATGAAACAAGTAGCAATCTCAAGTTTTCCGAGACATGGAAGCTTTACAGCTGCAAACGTTTTCGGGAGCTCGGAGAATGATGGTTCATAAATTACAAAAATGTGCGACTGATTTGCTCTCACTCATAAGCAACTATGATGGTTTTCAGAATCACATAAAATAAGTCAGCTTTGCAGAGAAAAATTGCTGCCGCCACGCAGTCCTTCCCTCAAAATTCAGGGTAACTGGCAGCAAAAATTGTGAAAAGCATCTCAAAAAATCCTACGGAGAAACTAGACTAATGCCATGAGATTTTGTTCAAAGAATATCGTTTCCCCTTCCCTCCAAAAACCCTCTTGAACCGTCAGTTTCAAGCGCTTATGACATCCTTCAGGCTATACTCTGGATGTGGAGAAGGAGAAGCACTGACAGTACATTCTTCGTTATCCCGGCTGTTTATGGAAGCCACAAGCACTTACATCTTGGAACTCATTGGATGTGGAAGTAACTTTATTTCCTCCAAAAATGTTTCAAACATCCTCCACAATGATCATATCAGAATATTACGGAAGTAATGGCCGGAGTTTGTGCTACAGCAGTTGTGTGATTATGAAGACTGACACCGTTGATGGCTTAACTGGCTCCTCTCATAATCATTACAAACATTTAAAACCCCAAACCCATGATTTTGAATTCCCTGCCTAAGCCAAATTTTTTGTCAGTTCGATAAAAGGCTGAAGACGGAGCAATCTTCAATGCTATTCTTTTCCCATGTCTCCGACTGGCTTTCAGGTGACTTGTAGAGTGATTTTTTTAAGAACTTCACCTTTTTCAAAATTGAGCAAGCTTGATCCAAGCTTCGAAAATTCCATCTCGAATCACATTAGAAACACTAACTCACGGTTTTCTTTTTGGAAATGCGCAAGCGAGTGTTGCGAAAATGTTACTCTTTACCTCTTGGCTTTTCTATCAAGTCTGAAATAAACTTCAGAAAACAAAAGGTGTTAAACCTAGCTTTTATTTCTTCCAAACAAAATGCCTGAAATTTCTAAGCGGCCTAATTTTACAGTGTAGGTCTTTTTTTCTAGTCTGAGAGCATTTTTTCTTTCCTTGAAAGGCGATACTATGTACATCATAAAAGTATTGTTGTTGTTCTTATAGGCTGCTTCATGACAAAGGCGCAATATATTTGGGCGCGAACGCGCTTTCATTAGCCACAGAGCGCATAAAGCGCAGGATTTTCAACGTTGAAGATACGCGCGCGCAGATCTTCAAGCCCGCAACTAATACTGCTTCTGCCCTTCGTCATGCAGCAGCCTTCATATGTTCATTTTTCTACTCCAACAGACTTGGGTGAACTCCATACCCTCGCGATGTTTTCCCCAAAATGAACTCACATTTTATCTATCTTGTTGGTTATCATTGTTTACAGGCTGCTACATAAGCACTCGTCTAGTCCGTTCATTTTAGTCTTAATAGTGTTTTTCTCATGAGCGGCAAATTCTACAGCGAGGACGCAGAAGTTCACGTTGGAGTCATCGTGAGGCCACTTCGAGGTCGCTGGAGGCCGATTACTGGACAAGCCAAGGCCGAAGACTTCAAGTAATGGTGAAGGATTGGAAATTTGACTGCTTCTCAACTACTTCAGGAATGCGACATTGGAACCTGCGCTGTGGAAGAGCACCGCGAGCGATAACGATGATAACGAAGCCAAAATGCAATTCACTTCCAAAATGGGTCAGATAGAGGCGAAGATCAGTGCAAACGCGTCTAACAACTTGCAATTTCAGTGTACAGCAGTGATAGATTGAAGGAATCAGATGTCGGAGAGGAAGCAGAAACTAGGAGCGATGTGTCAGCTCCTAGAGAGGTCAATCTGACGACACGATAAAACGATAATCAATTAAGATAGATGGTTCAGGCTCCGAAGAAAAGTGTGCTAGTGAGTCCGTGCCCGACAACATGCAGCTGCGGAGCTGCTTCATCGGTTTGTTCTGTCTGGACATTTACGCCTGTGTCCAGGCTGGCTCGTGCCAGGGTCGTGCCAGCGCCATGCTAGTGCCGTGCCGAAACTGCGTCTTGGAGGTCGATCGATCAGCAATGGTGCGGTCATTGTCAGCACAATTCATAGGCGCTGGAATAGGGTTGGAGCGGTGTTGGCGCGGCGCTGGAACGGCGCTGGCGCAGCTTTGGCACGACTCCATAGCTATGCCAGCACACTGGCAACTCTGGACAAAACCTAAAAAGCACAAAAATTTTGTGCAGGTTCTCACAGTCAACAGCCCACCACCAGAAATGAACCGCATTGAATTGCCAGCAGATCTTGCAGATAAGAATCAGGATGCATGGGCTTCGAGGTCAAAATTTTGTTGAAGTTTATCGCTCATCGAATTTGTTTGTTTTAGAGCAAAACAAACCGAAATCAAGAAGAGCCAAGTTTGGACAGCAAAGAGCAAAAGCCTCAAAGACGACAGTGGAAAAGCCTCCCAAAGCAGTTCACTCAAGACTCCGAATATGAAAGAAACACCGAAAAAGCAAGACTCGTCGGAGGAAATCCGAGTGACTTCGAGTCCGCTGCCAAGGCCAAAAATCACTCTTCCAAAGAAAAGTAAGGAGAAACTTGAGCGCAAAGGCGCTAAAGCAGGTAGCAGACCGGGTAGCCGAGTTGGAAGCCGAGCAAGCAGTAGAGAAAAGGCTAAAGACGAGCCGAAAAATCGAGAAAAGGGTAAAGAGGAGCCGAAAACGAAGGTTAAGGCTAATGTGGAGAAAGCACCACCGAAGGAGGAGAAAATTCGCGTCAAGTTTGATCTGCAGGACTCGAACTACATTAGTGACGTGCCACCCAGTGGTAGAAGTTCACGTCCTGGATCTCCTAAGCGCAAAGGTCAGTCTATTATTTTCAAAGACTAGTCCCAGACGAAGGCAGATGACTTATCTTTGCGAGGCGGTGCGAGCGCGGTCGCTGCTTGTTGTAGTCGTGGTAGTTGTTGTTGTAGTTGTAGTTGTAGTTGTGGTTGTAGGTTGTAGTCGTAGTAACCTATAGTAGCCGATTCTGCCGCATTCGCGTGCGCTTAATCTATACGGACCCCCGCCTTCGTCCGGGTTTGGCCTCTAGCTCATTTCTTTGAGCTATGGATTTCCGCTTACAAATTTAGGGACCGAAATTGCCGAAATCCGCGGTATCGACATACCCAAAGAAAGAACAAGGCCGATAGTGAGTTGTTTGGAAAGTTTTTTATATGGGAGAAACATCAAAGACAGCTTTTTAGCGAGCGAATTTGACCACCACTTCGAGATCTCGCCTGAAGACTGTAACCTACAAGGAAGAGGTTGGACCAATTTTTTGGATCTAACAATCTTAGATCCAAAATTTCTTTCAGCCGTTTCTATCCGAGTTCAAAAGCTGGATTCTTCTCATCATCTTCCTTTCCATGATACTGCTGTACAGATCAACACTTCTCTCATGATATTATGATTTGTAATAAAATATGATTAATTATTTGTTTATTATTACTTACAATAGAGCCGAATTTCACGCAAATCTCCTAAAATTACTTTATAATAAATTTTCATCATATGAACAACATAAATACGACACAGTGACCATCAGTAACAACACAACGGTTGATGAAGTGTAGGCTGAGCTGGTCTGTAACGGCAAACTCGTTCGTTTCGGTAACTGAAAACATAGAATGAATTGTGGAGCTGCTGAGAATTATACCATTCAAGCAAATTAGAATTTAACGTGAATTTTTTTTACAGTTTTTGTGCTGCAAAAATGAAAAAAAACTTAACCTTGGAGCGCAAGGATCATCGCACTGGTTAGAATATGCAAAGTCGATTTTGAAACATGCGCAGCAGATTAAAACTTTGCTGAGAGTGATTTCTGCTCTTACGCACGAGACTCTCGCATTTGCATGCTATTTAATTTGTTCCCACGGAAATAAGCGCCGAAAAGTAAAAATGTGTGGACCAAAAATTCAGAGCTGACATAGAATTAGGACTTCTTTCCTTTCATTCTCATTCTCAAATTGTATCTCAATTAATGCGCTTGGTTGCGAAACCCTCTGAGCGATTGTTTTTTGGTAAATGTCTAATTAATTGACAATTTTTCCTCAATATTACTTCGAATTTGAAATTTTGTGACCAACTGGAAATAAGAAAAGTATTATATTGTTACTGAAGGAAGGCAACTAACTGATGGCATGCTAAAGTGCCCACAATCATGCGGGAAATTATCTGGAGGAGGTGGAATCTCATGATCTTCACCAATCTGCAAATATAATTTCAGGGAAGAGGCATCGAGAAGTACTTGTCGCACCTGGAAAGCATAAGCTGTTCCACTCATGTGATGTAGTTCCAGATGACAGTGAGCAAACCACCAGCCAGGGTTTGATGCACGAAACCTGAATTGGACATAAACTCTTACTATTTCGAACTTTTCGGCTAAGTCTCGTATGAAAATTAGAGAAGATGAGAGCTTACCGCAGTACAACATAGCCGCCAACGGGGACTGATACCGTATCTCGTAGCGATGGATCTACGGTATTCATACCCTGAACTGCGCCATTCATCCAACTCCTGTTCCTCCACACTACACCATCACATGCCATCTAAAATAGCAATCTTCCGTCGACTAATGTCGGGTTGAAACACTCAGGATCTCAAAAAAGACAAGGCAATCAGTGGTGAGGATGAGAAAGTGAGGGAGGGAAGTCTCCCTCCAAGAATGGGTCGCGAAATTTTTGAAAGTTGCCCAGTTGAGCTTGGATTAACAAGGGACTTCTCTTTACTGTATATGATCAAAAATTATTTTTGAATTCAATTTTGCATTATAAAAAAATTTTCAGAGATGTGACTACCGCCAAGCTCCCTTTTTAAATATTTTCGATAAGTTGGCAAGAATTTTCAGAAGGACTTCAGAAGGATTTTCGAAGAGGGCGGATAACACTATGCTCATTAAAAGTTTTTTTGGCCTCCTTCCCAAGAAAATCTCGAAGAGACACTGGCGACATGTTATGTGTTTCAGAAAATAGTGGTCTACTTTGAAACATTTATAACGTTCATAAATCAGAATCAGTTTTTTTTTTGAAATTTTTGGTACGAAATTTATTTTCCAGCCAAATGCACATGATAACTCACATTTGCTCCATCGCAAGCAAGATCAGGGTTCATCTCTGTTATCATACCACTGGCATTATATTTTGGCCATCCTACCTAAATTTACTTGTTTGCAAAATGTACCACAAATTATACAGTACTACCTTCATGACGTGGAAATGTGTTGAGTGGACGTGATATGGATGAGCATAGCCAGTAGCAAAACCTCCTCCTTTTCCCATGTTGAACATTGTTATCTAAAAAGAACAGAACCACTATGGGAATAACGGCACGTATTCAATTTAGACTTTTTGTGTAATTGCACCAATTTTTGATTTTCGCACCAAACGAAGGATTTAGCGAAAGATGCCCTTTTTTGAACGAATTTCTTCTGTATTTTTGCGTCAGGCGTAGCACTTCTGTAATTAAGGCACTGAAGCTGCCGTCACCAACCTCCTGCCAGGTTTTGAAAGTGATGGAACACAGAAAGGAACTACTACAAGTGTGCCTCGGTTTCGCAGTCTGCTTTCTAGCCAAAAATATACCCCCCTAAAGAAAAAAACTGAGATGAAAGTGTCCTTTTTACCTGCACTATGCTGTTGAGCTTGTGTTTCAAGTTGACAAAACATCTGCACTTCTTATCATACTTGTTGTCGCTTGAGGTGCATTTTGTAGTGTCACAGTTCTGCAAAAACAAAATTATTTGTGAGTGCAAAAACGGTGATAGGATAAGCTAAATTTTTGCATGCGCGCTTACCTTAGATATCAAATCCATCTTATCCTTGTTGTAATAAGGCATTCCTAATGGGAACTCAAATTTGTATTTATTCACATGCGAATCGTAATGCATGTTGATGAAATGTTCCTGAATCACACATTTTCGAATAATTGCGACGAAGAACCAAGCTTAGTGCTAATAACCTCATAGTTTTCTTCGAAGGGTGTGTCTCGAAGTATATCAGGGTCGATCTCCTTCGGCTTAGGATGGCGCAGCACGTCGTAAGAAAGGCAGGTGAAATTATAGTTGGATGGGTAGTTCTCAAATGGGCAGTTGAGCACTGTGCATCGCTTTTCCGCCGTGCATTCAGGCGAGTAAATGAAGCTTGCTGAAAAGAATAGATAGTGCATAAAATTGCTTATTAACATGACCCGAATAGTCGCAAAGAGGGAGGGCCAGGAAAGAGAGAGGGATGTATGAGAAAAGTGAGGATGTATTGAAATGCTATGGCTGGTGATACTTCTTATATGGAAAATGAAAAATGTAATAATTTGGTTGGCTAACCACTTGAGGCACTATACCCTTTCGTGCAGCAATCGCTAGTTTACTTCACTTCAAGAGATCAAAATGTTGGTTGAAAATCTCACCACTGGCATAAATTGAATCTCTGGGATACAGTAAACATTCTTCCGTGCTGTACGCTTTCTGTTTCTTCTTGGCCTTCTGTATGTTTTTAGACCAGAGTTGTGATTGAAAAGTCAAAAATTGCTTTTTATGGCGTTTTCCGGCCCTGGAGTTGCTGAGGAGACGGAAAGTCGCGATTGGCCGCTTGGGCCAATTAGCCAATTGCCGCCAAAATGAGTGATGTTACAGTCTCCTACAACCACTCACTGTTTTCGGCTTGAATAGCCGTTCCAAGCCTCCCCAGCAATCTTCAAGTCGGAAAACGCCATAAACAGCACTTTTTTGACTTTTCAAGCACAGCTCTGGTCTAAACGCATCCAGAAGATCAAGGAGGAACAGAAAGCGCGCAGTTGCAATTTTCCCTATCCGCTGCCTTTAATTGTTTTAGCGCGGAGGAACACACTAAAGTAAAACTTCAAAAACGCCGGAATGCGGTAGTGTGGTGGCTACGAAAAGTTATGCCGTTATGTGCAGCAGATAATATTTTAGCAAGCTTGATAATATTGAAATTTGGTTCTGCACTGCAAATAAATAATTTGGTCCCTTTTTTGTCAACAAGGTCCCAGCATAGATTTCTATTTTGTCCAGAAATAACTCTACTTACGTGGAGATCTCTCCTCTGGCATATTTACATCTTCATACTCCAAGAATGCCACTCCGTAATCAGTCTCGACACTTGTCCAGTCGAAATAGTAGTATTGTACAGTCTCAACTACTGCCATGTAGGTCTTCTTCGTTGGGTTTTTGAGACCTTTTATGGCAACGTCGTAGCGCTCCCCAGGGAAGAGTATGAGCCGATCGACCTAAAACTTTGAATATTCCAGATTATGTGATAGTGTAGTACTCGCTTACCTCATGGAAGACGCAATCATCACCATCGGCAGCTGTTACAATCAGCTTATGGCCTTCGATGTGGAGCATAAGTTCTTGTGCGACTCCTCCGTTTGTAATACGGAAAAGCACTGTTTCATCTGAATTGAATGAGACGAATTTTTTTTTCAAAACGGAAACATTTACTGTTCATAAGAAGCTATGGAACTGATATGAACACATTGATGACAACGTAATTTTTACAACTTGTTCAGCACGGACTTCAAGACTCGCATCGAGCGATCACTTTTTCATACTGATGGTGGCAAAGAATAAAAAGCTTGTGTATTTGCTCTTTGAAAACTATTATATTTGGGTCTAGGAAAAAATAAGAACGATGGGAAGAGATTTTTGAGGAAGTGTAGCGCCCCCGGTTTACGTTGTCGTCATTGAGTTGATGGATGAGCTGAGGTTTTGCTCTATTTGTATTACTAAATTTATTTGTTTGGCTTGCTTTGTGTACATAAATTTATTGATAAATCTGATTTTGTGTTTTACTCTAGGTAGAATAAAACAAATTTCCAGAGGATGTTCAAAGAAATATAATACCTTTCTTGATCAAAAAGCGCTCCAATGGCAGATTCCACGGACGGGTTAGAATATCCGCGCGGTTATGCCAACCTTTGTCGTTAATGGTCAAGGCAGAAATAGGTACGGCACCACCAACATTTCCTAAACTCACCTTCTTTTTAAGAAAAATAGAATAAGATTTGGTGAAAACTTTATCTCACCTCCATCTGCGGTTCGCGTAGGTTGCCAACATTTCTTATGGTCGTCGAAGCCGTACATCCACTTCATGCTCTTCTCCATCAGACGTAAGAAAGCCTCTTCTGTTGTTTCGGTCGCTATGTCCTGAAGAGATATGCAAACAAGAAAGTATGGGCATGTTTTGCTGGTGTTGATTGTTCCCGTCTTCTAACAGAGTTCAAAATCTTTGCCTTTTCTTGAAATCGTATACTTTGATAATTGTATACTTTCTTTGAGAGAAGAATAAGATTTTTTGCGCTTATTCAGTTGATTAGATTTTATGAAGTAATTTTTTCTCAACTTCTTCGTTATGTATGGACATTTGCTGTTTTTTGCAGTTTGAGTGAATTTGCAGTCAATGCTGCTAGTTAAATCGGCTAGTAAGAAAACACTGCACTTTTTTTCTACGTAATTATTTGGACATATAGCTTGAAACTCACTTGTAGCATCATATAGTACTCTCTGTTGGGAACCTTAGCCACTCCATTACCCAAATCCACTGCTCTGTCCTTAGGATCAAGAACCACAAAGCCTGAAAGTATAGCTCTTTTGCATCTTTTGTACATAAACTGACAATCTACCCACCTCCAAGCAAACCATCACCCCTGTCTGTTTGGAAATGCCCGTGATACCAATGCGTTCCCTTGTTGTCGGCGATGAAACGATATTCAAAGCTGGAAAGAGTGATTTCACAATGATATGGAAATTTATCTATTTACAATATGGCACATTTGTTCGACGGTTTAAAGATTTGGTCATTCACGTCATACCATATCGCATGGGGATTACCATGTAGCGGTGAACAGATCGTTAGTCATAAGTCAATCATTTCCAAGTATGTTGATCGCTACGGATCATTGATGATCACTCACACTATTTTTTGCAAAAAATGAATATGCAAAAAACGTGTGTATGCTATCTTTTATAAAAATTACAATATTTGCAGAAGAGTTCACTCGAGTTCATTAATACACAACTTTTTCTAAGTTTTGCGGTCAAGTTCTGATTTGGGAAGTAGAAGCAATAATTAAAATGAGAATAATTACAAAGTGTACTCTATATCACAAGTAATGGACTAATCAACACTACTCTGTTTCGTTCCTTTCCTTAAACGGGGTTTTTTATGAGTTATAGGTCTTCCCCGGAATTCCTCAGTAAGAAAGGAAGACCAAGAATCATGCATAGTTATGTAACTTAGGAGGTTTATACAACATTATATAGAATATAAAAATAAATTGTGGAGCACTCACCTATACTTTTCTGCAGTTTTTTTCTAGAAATATTTCATGTATATTGAATACATATATTCAATATGAATTGGAATTGTTATAAGCCGAAGTATAAATAACTATATATAACCATATGGTTTCATATAGACGATAAAATGAAGCCGATACTTTGGATAACTCATGTGTAGTTTTTTTTAAGAAGTTTTTCATGAGGAAACGTGAATAATACTCGCGTTGCTCTGTTGTTGTAGGACTTATATACTATCACGACTTAAAAGAAGTACTATCAATAATTATATGGATCAGTCGTCCAGATTATTCTATGCATCTCGTTTGATTGATGAGAGAATCGGTTGGGTCACTTTGTCAAGACTCCGCAAATGATTTCGTCCTTCAAGTCTGCAATGATTTCATAACGAAAACTCACTAGTTTGTGCTTTGGATGGGGCATTGCTGGATAAATGCAACACCATCCATGTACCATAGCCCTGAAATACCATTCTGCAATATTTTCTTGGTAGGGGAAGAAGGCGTTTGAGCCGCCTTTCGCGGTCACTGATCCTATTGCAATGCTATTGCATGTCGTTCCAGGATCATTAGTCCACGAAGGCGACCCAGTTGGCCCCTTCCTATACCTACCCTACTTTCTTTGATACAGTCGAACGAAATTTACCTTGCTTGTCAATTCCATGCACATGGATGGTGATCGAATCCATGAGGACTTTATTGTGCACTCTGAGCAGAACTTCGGCCATATATGGTACAACTATGGTGTCTCCGGGTCTAAACACCCCAAGTTCTATTTGCTAATACGTCAGTTCATGGTAGGACCTACGTCTTGCCATTGATGGTAACTACTCTTCTATGGAGACCGTCAAGTACCACGACGTCGTTGAGGATAGAAGCATCATGGCGACTTTTGTTGGCATTGAGAGGGTAATGATCAAAGCAGCTCTTCAACTGGTCTGGTTCTCGTTTCGTCCATGAAGCCTAGAATTTTCCCTTTGAGATTTTTTTTTTGCGAAAGATAGAAGCATATAATAGCAGATAACAGCACACCGTATCTGGCGAATAATCCACAGGTGTTCCATGTTGCCACTCATTGATAGTGTTTGATGACATTGTCAGCCTTTTTTCCACAACCAGATCGAATACGTAGACACCATTCTAAAAAGCACAAATATGTTAAGTAAAATGTTTTTGATATTTGCTCACTTGGTCTGGTTCCGGAATGGTCAATGGTCTTGCGTATCGCTCATATGTGTAACCCGCGTGAGTTAGGATGCAGAGGATTAACCCTGCTGTCCACATCTGCAAATTTCTAGTATTCCTCAAATGTTCACTACCAAAAAAATTATCAAAAAAAGAAATTTTTTTCGTTGAGTAATGATGAAATTTGATGAACGATGTATATATTATTGGTCAAAGCAAATCATTTGACGGATTATTATCTGCGCGGTTGACCTTCGGATCGCAAATGAGGGCATCACCATTTGTGACATCCAGGGATACCTGATCTTTATGTATAAATTTTTCAAGTATTTTCCATTCCTCAAAGAACATCCGCTTAGTGTTTACTACTAACAGTGTGTTGTTGTTGATTTGTTGATTTTTGTAGCAGGAGTATGCTAAAAATATGTGATTTATAACACATTTATAACAAGAACAAAAGCGAATTTCGTTGAAAATTACGCTTGATGACTACAAAATATTAGGTCGGTCCAAAAGTTCTTTCCGTTTTTTCAACCTGCTATAAAATCAGGTTTGAATAAAGGCAGGCAAATGCTCTAGGGACTATCAGACGCAGCTATTCTTCTTCTTTCCACTAGTCATGTTTTGGAACCATTTGCTTTAGTGGTTTCTGAGATAATTGCCGAAATTTCAAACTCATGGTTTTTACCATGCCCACCTTTGGCAATTTTTAAAAACCTTCATTGTGAACATTTGGAAACGCTTCGATAGCTGTTAGGTAGCGTAAACAAAGTGCGCTTCAATGCAATTTTCCCGCATCTTCAATCAGCTTCTTGGCATTTTTTAGGATCTTAGGTTTTTTTTAGGATTCCAAAAGTCTTCAACTTTGCGAAGTCTCAAAATACAAAAGGCTCCAAACACTAACAAATCGTTGGAATTTGATACTTGCAAAGTTCGATTATGATTATACATTAACTTACAAAGAAAAGAGCGTTTGCCGCTTCGAATTATCAAATTTGACATTTTGCGATTACAGCCTGGGGCGGGTCAAAATCACGAATTATGATAATTTCCGCCGAAGACTCCACGATTTGAAAAGGGGAAACCCCCCCCCCCCTCCCTCCAGAAAGAGGACAAAAAGCTGCATCGAATGACACATTAGTTGTGTGCCGTTTGATGTTCTGTGAGTGTTGGATGACCAAAAATAGAATTTGATAATATCAAAAATATAATTTTGAAAATTTTTGAAAGCCAGCTGTAGGTGCCGAAAAATTGCAATGCACTTTGTTTACGCTACCCAACAGCTATCAAAGCTTTTCCAAAAGTTCATAATGAAGATTTTGAAAAGTTGCCAAAGTTGGGCATGGTAAAAACCATGGAAAATTTCGGCAACTATCTCAGAAACCGCTAAAGCAAATGCTTCGGAAACATGACTATTGGCAAAAAGAAGAAAAACTGTGTTTGAAAGTCCCTAGAACATTTGCCTGCCTTTATTTCACGTGTTTTTATGACAGGTTGAAAAAACGGAAAGAACTTTTGGTCGACCTAATATTTTGTAGTCATTAAGCGTAATTTTCAACGAAATTCGGTTTTGTTATTTATAAATTACATGTTATAATCACATGTTTTTTGCATACTCCTGCTACAAACATCAACAAATAAACAATAACACATTGTTAGTGACAAACACTACGCGGCTGTTCTCTGAAAAATGGAAAATTATGGAAAGATTCTATGCATAAAGATTATTTTCTCTCTGGATCTTGCAGATGGTGGTGCACACGTATGCCGTGAAGGTAAAAAAACCGCACTCGCTGCTAGCTTAATTTGTTTGTTAGTCAAATCAAACTGCGACATTTTTGTAAAACTTATTCAACATGTTTAGTACATAGATGTGTGACTTCCATTTGTTCGTCTAATCGGTTGCTCAAAGGCTATCCACCAGTGGCGTACCCAGGATTTCCTCGGGTTCGGAGGGGGGGGGGGGGGGGGGGGGAAACGACAAAAATTTTTCTCTGGTAAAGGCGTGGCCACGTTAGCCCGCGCTCTAATTTTTTTCATGAGGCTAAGGTGAATTTTTAGAATGTTTTTGAATATTACTTCAACCAACAAATAGAAACAGGTCAATTGCACATTTTAACTCACATAAGTAACTTTCAAAAAATCTTTCAAAAAATTCGCAATCCATTCTCCCGGGGGGGGGGAAGCCTCGGTACGCCATTGGTATCCACTGTTGAACCGTTTAGTGAATGTATCGCAATAGTTGATAGCTGATATAGTGTGCTATCCACAAGTTGAACCCCGAGTATGGAGTGAGTCATCAAAATCTTCTACTAATTGTAGGATTACATTACGGTAGGAATTTCTGAATTTTGGTTTGAGCCATCGATTAACTGTTATCTCAGAAAAAAGTTCGAAAATTCAAAAGTGTTTGAGTAGTGTAAAATTTGGACTCTGATCTCTGCGACTACTGGCTAATCATTTGAAAGGTAACAGGTAAAGCACCAAGAATTTTCGGAATTTTTGGAATTTTCAAACTTTTTTCTGGGATAGCAGTTAATCAAGAAAATTTCTCAAACCTTGTTGATATTATCCTACAACTAGACTTCTGGGTCCTATTCGCAGAAAATTTTCTAAATTTCGCAGCTTGATAAGGCAAACGAAATGATATCTGGTCTACCAGCAGCTTTAGTTCTGCATCCTTCACATTGTCAAAAATGGAAAATACAGTCACGTACGAAAAATGCTAGGAAGGCCAGAGCCATTTGAAATATCAATTCACAGTAATTTTGGTTTGAAGGACTGATGCTCATTAAATGCAGAAGGCTTTGATATCAGTCAATCGTCAAACACGCAGAAATAAATTGCATCAAAAACTGTTCGCTTGTAATTGTCCGAATTCATGAAGTGGATGGGAAAATTGAGAAGAACTAGAACAAATACGAAAATGGAAGCATTGCGCATGAGTATCCCGTCATACTATATTCGACCCTGAACGTGACTGTGCGCCTATTTATAAACAGTCCGTAATCTCGATAAGCGATATAGAGCGCAGGTAAATAAATTTGAATAAATTATGTAGGTATAGGGCGAAAGTCACAATGCGGTACTGTTCGAGTAATCGCTTTACAAAACTTGTACTAGAGATCACGAAATTCTGCTATAGTTTGGTTTTCTCCAAAAAATTACAGTTACAGTCTTCGAGGTCCTCGGTAAAAAGGCTGCTCTCAGTTTGCTGTCAAAGTGTTTTTGACTTTTTGTAAATTATGGTCAAATAACGATTTCTTCTTATTCCGTCATAAAAGAACCCTAAACAAAACGGCCAGACTTTCTAAAAGTCCATAGAAGGACCTAGTATTTCAACTATATTCTCGTTGTCCTAGATAATTTAGATTCCTGCCTTCAAATTATGAAATTATTTCCGGAAAACCCAATTAATGGGACTGTTCAGGGTAGCTCATCTGCACTTAACGATCAAAAATTTTAGGTCCTAAACTCAGATAAATTGAACTGTTTTTGTTTTTTCAGCAGATTTGAGTGGGCCACCGTTCGATAGATCAAAGCAAGCCTTAAAAAGGGAATCGGAGATGCAGCTAACTGGAGTTCGTGGAGAGTTCGAAGACAATGTCAAAAAAAATTTACGTTGGAAGATCGGATTTTTGCCGTCACGTTCCAAATTGGTCGTCATACACAGTCCTCGGCACAGGTAGCTTGTGAGCAAGCTGGATATCGTTTTTGGGACAAAAAGGTAAGAGGATATTGTTTTGTAGCCGAAAAAACACGACTTAGGTTACGTTTTTTTGGCCGACGTTTTTTTTAGTTTGTTTCGTTTTTTTTTTGGTCTTTACGTTCATGGTTTAGGGTCAAAGGGGACTTCGTAAAATTTTGGGAAAGTCAAGGGGGACTTCGTCTTATTGCCATTCGGAAAGCCCGTGCTAAGCCCTGGTCATACAGCACATAGCGGTATTCATAAATGCATTTGGTGAAGTTTTCGCGCATAATCGGGAAAGAAAGGATAGCCAAAAAAATGGCAAACACAGTGACCGCCAAAAAGTTGCGGACAAGCCGCCCTCCTTTCTTCGTCTCTCATTTTCGATTTTGTGACACGGCCAATTTGAACTTTTTTTCGTGAAACATTTCTAACTTTTTAGAATCCATGTTTTCCAGAATGCCTATAATATAGGTTGTAGTTCATGGAGCTCTATCATCTCTTGCAATCTGATCAATTTTCATCCTTGTTTTCCATCTGAAGATGAGCGACGAAGAAAGGAGGGCGGCTTGTCCGCAACTTCTTGGCGGTCACTGTATGTGGCGTATACTTCAAGCTTTGGTAAGCATAAACTTAGGATTGTGTGCTTTCATCTAATAAAGAAATACCGAGTGTAGCATTTGAGAAAAAACAAAAAAGTGAAAATTTTGCATTTTCGGGCTCTTTTTGCCTTTTGATTCTGAGAGGCGGAAAAATTCAAGCAATCTATATGTATAACTCAAAGTTTGTAAGTTGTTTTCGTGAAGTATGTGTCGAATAAAATTCTTTGTGAGTGAACGAGGAAGCGCCAAAATTTGCACACATATGTTTTCAACCCCTGCGCACACGATAGGTTACTTCTTGCGGCGATTCGCTTAGTCCTATCAATTTATTGATTTTGAGCCTTTTTCAATGAAAATGAAGTCTTGTCAGCCTATCAAACCGCTTGCCGTTGGTGTAAACCAGTGGCCGTATTCATCATTGATGCCTTGAGGTAAATTCTACCTCCAGGTAGTTTTATCACTCATTATCAGCAAAATTACATTGAGAATTTACCTCAAGGTACTTGTGAATACGGGTACTTGCTGATTATGAGTGACTAGCTGGCTTACCCGGCTCCGCCGTATCCGGACCAAACTTGGCGCACATTCACTTCGGGCCCCGGCGCGTGTCATAGGCTACTTTTCGTCATCGATCGATATCTATTTTACCGATTTTTATCGATTTTTTTGCAGAGTTCACCTACAGGGCTAGGAGTTGGCACAGGGGGGGGGAAGTGAGCATGGGGATTCCGAATACAATATTAGTTTTCAGAATTATCGATTACTTTTATTGATTTTATCGATTTTTTGTAAATTTTGACATGCGAGGC